TAATGTATTATAACAAAACATACATATTTATAGAAATCTACTCTAAAGTTTTAAATTTAAAGTTTATTTCCAACAATTTATGATTATTGAGTTCATCAGTATTGTATTAAGATTGCATACATATATGAAAATAGTACCATATGTAATAATACACCTTTGGCGCAGAACTGAATAATAAATAATGTATTCAGTTAGAATGGCATATAGAATCTTATTATTAAGCTTACCTGCAAATATCATAGATAAAACTGTATTTTATTAATTTGTAATTCTGTAATTTGCGTTTCCTACATTTAAATAACTTAAATATCATATTGTTGCCATCATTTGAAAACTCAAACAATAACAAATACTGTGAATAAAACCAAATATCACATGTGACCATATGGTTACATCATAAAATAAAATAAAATCATACTCAATAGTCTATGATTAGGATTCTTTTTGTAAAATAGTCCTTCTGAGTTCAAATTTGCAATAACACTCCACCTATACGCGACATTAAAATCAGAAGCAATCTTGGAGCAGTGGTGGGATGCCTCTTGGAACAGCTTCCTAGATCACCTAGTGTATGGCGAAATGGAGACCGATTTTACATAATACTGGCCAATGCGATTCTATCTCCACCATCACAGCTCCGATATTGTCTCTGATTTTAGTGTCGTCTGTTGGCGGTTTAAATTGTAAACTTGATCTCTGGCGCTTACTTGACCAGTATCGAGTCTTCTTATACACTAAATACATTATATTTTTACATATCCTATACACAAATAAGACATTTCCAAATACATATACACAGTCCTTTAAATTGTACTGGTGAAAGTAAAACCACAAGAATACATATTGGTAAAATCTATAGAAATTATTCATAACACGATTCACAACTTCACATCCATGCACTAATTTATTGTAGTAGGTATCAAAGAGGTATAAATGTTGGTCGGGTTTCAGAATATGTTTACTGTTGGATAAACTAGTCCTTGCCTGAACTTCGTCCACTTATTGATCGGGATATCATGTAATCAATGCGTTAGCAATCCCAAAGATTACCTAGTTGGAAAAAAAATATGATAACAGCATAAGGCATGATGGCGAAACAAACAAATGCACTTTCTCTTATAAAATGTAAGTTAAAAATATTTCTAACATTAACACGAGGCAGTGAGATTGTATTAGAAAAATAGCGAAAAAGATCCGCGATGCATATTTGGATTTTTTATATAAGCTCTAAGGTTTCAATAATAGCAAACTTCTCCAAAAACCTGTGTAATAGGCTAATCTAACATCAAATAATTAAATCCCTGTATATTAAACGTGTCAGGATAGAAACTGTACTCAATTTAGAAATCATTCAGATAAAGTTGCCTACATATATGCAATTGCATGTACCTATATACAGTAATGTATAGGCAATTTTATATTATAGACTTATAGAATAACAATAGAGTATGTGTAAGTACAAACTAACAGCGGAACTAGTGTCTATTTGACGGCATCACCAAAATTACGAATAGTAATTCTTTATGGTCTTCGTCTTATAATCTTTTCAAGAATATTTTTTAATTATTTTAATAATACAAACAATTATAATTGATTCAGTATATAGAATACATAGAATTACAAATTACAAAAATTAGGCCACAACTTAATAATACATGTAATTTAAAAAAAAGTATAAAATATGACAACATCAATTATGATCGACAAGTTATAACATATTTCTGGTATTATAAATAAATTTTAATAAAATACTGAGATATATTTTAAGTAAAAATTAAATTAATATTTTTATATTCTGCAAAACGTATTTCAACTTTATGATACGCCTTCTCAGGATTCAATCCTAATTAAACAGTAATTAGCCCTTAATACAGTATGAAAACTTACTTATAATGTCTTAATAGAAAAAAGATTTATTTATGTTTAAACTCAAATACATCATTCAAAGAAATAAGCTTAACACTCCATTCATACTTTCTTCCTTAAACATTTATTACACGTATAATATTTTTATGTATAAGAACCTGCTTGCTGTAATACTATTATTTTTAATACAAAGAAGTTCTACAATAAATTTAATGAGCTATCAACATGAATGTGCCGTGAAGCACCGAATATATTAGAAAATGGAATGTTACAGGTTAATTTATAAAAAACAATTAATATTACTTAGTAACTATTATTAGTGGTCGGTCAGTCGGCGAAATTCGACCATAATAAAAAAATATATTTCAATTAGTCATAACATATGCGTGTGTGTATCAAATGCATGGTAGTGTGTGTAATATTTTTTTTAGTAATTAAATGTATTTGTACGCTTAATTTAAAAAAAAAGCAGTCAAAAATAAAAAAAATCTAAAAGGAGTGCACTTTTTTTATATAGACTATAAGTTTGCGAAATATCATACTCCTTTGTCCGTGCAATTTTCATAAAAGGAGGTACAATCTTTATGCAAACAATTTGAAAGCCATTAGTGGCTTTGTAAATATAACCATAGGGACGAAAATATTAAGACTGAACCAATGCTGTCACTAGCACAAAACTTGCAAATATACCATACGTGTAAAAAATAGTATCACTGTTTAATACAATAATAATTATGTTCTAAGTGACGCAATTCTAAATATAGACTCGATTGTAAATCTCGCCCTAATTACGCCCACAGTGTGAAGTAGGTAACATGGTATTTGTTCATTTAGAGATATACTAGTATAGTATAATTACTGTGTTGTCTCGATAACATTCTGTGTGGAACCTAATTTTATTATGAATAAAATTCGTTTTATTCGTCATACTATAGTAGTTATGTATATGAACATTTAAACATGGTGGCGTCGGTGGTCTACTGGAGTAGTTCTCTACCTTAGATCCGATAGTGAGGGGTGAGAATCCTCTCTCAGGATAATAACATGTGTACGTGATATTTTGTATATACATTGCATATGTATTTTTATCAGTTGTCTAGTACCCATAGTAAAATATTTGCTTAATTGGGACTAGATTATTACTGTTAAAAACTGCATATAATGTATGTGAAAATTGGGATATTTATAATTATAAATTAATGAATATACTCCTAGCATCGGTGCATAAATAAACTATAATTAAAAACTTATATAAAATATTAATAACAGTATTTAAAAGACTACACTAAATCATGGCGTCGAGAGAGCAAATTAGTAAATAATTCATAAGGTACGTCACAAGTTAAAGGCTTGGGGTGGGCAAAGTGTGGCGATAAAAAGGGATCTAATGAGTTACTTGTTGTAGTTAATGTTCGTGTGAAAATCAGGAAATCTTGGATCCACCCCCACACTCCTGGGAGGCGTCTTAGATTTTGTGGCACAACAAATTTTATTACATTTCTATTTATACAAATATATGTAATAAAACATGAAATTATAACTATCAAAATGTTTCCAGTTGAGACAGGGGGGAAAGGTAAATATTACTGAAATTAGTGTAACGTAATTCATGGATATTAGACCTTAACGGTATGCTTTAGAAGATAATATAGTCGACGAAATGTCGCGGATAGGAATCTCAGATTTTGTGATTATCATATTTTATTACATTTATATATTAAAACATGAAATTTTAACTATAAAAATGTTACCGATGGTAATGTTATGATGTTAATGTTATAGATGTGACAGGAAGGAGGTAAAATGACTGAAATTATTGTAACATAATTTTTGAATAGTCCCTAATGGTATACTTTGGAAATAGGCCCTAATAATCGAGACGAAATATCGCATATTCAATGACAATCTAAAATTCGGATTATTATAGCATTCATTCCAAACACTGCATATAAACATGTTTTATCCTGTAACGTATATTGGCGTATTTAATAATACAGTTATGATAGTGCAATACGAAAATGGCAGTCTTATTAGTCTTATTTTTAAACTTAATCTACAGATTGGTGTATAAGCACGCACCATTATAATTACTTTGTAACATACGTCACTCAGTTAGGTCCATTATATAAAGCTGAAAAACTAATGCAGGAAATCACGCTATGATGTATCACTGTTCTTTTTATATAATTCCAATGCCTTTCCTTTTTTTGGACTATTGTAATTAATTGTTAAAAGTTAAATTAATTAACTCCTTTTCCAATATATAAATGTGAAGAATAAATTTAAAACATTCATACAAAATCGTAACCGTTTGTACAAAATTATCTTGAACTTTGCCTATTTAGCTTTCCCAATTCAAATTTATGAGCTCTAACTTTGGTCTTTCTACTCACCCTATATACTTCCAGTTCAATCACAACGTATGTGGCTTGCATTATTAATAAAATTGTAGTAAAGCTTGATTATGGAACTCAGTTGCTATCTATTACTGTTTCAAACATTTTTATATGAAGATTGAATACTGTTAGTAACAAACATATACCGCCCATTTTAAATGTAACGAAATAAGATAATTCATGCTCGGAAAACCTAGATTAATGGCCAACAACTCCAATATGTCTAAGAGCTATTGGTTTGTAAACCACCAAAATTAGTTAGTTCTTCCATAAATGAATATATCATTATAACTAACTAAAATTATTCAGATATTGGAGGTAAGTCTACACACAATGAGATAGAACGAGACAGCGTGTACGATGTCTCAAATCTTTAAGACACAAACTGCAGGCCAATAATATTATCTAGTTATAAAGAAATAAAGATCATCTTACTTTGGTAAAATAGGAGTGCATATGATCTCGTTTGCCACTTATCTATGCAGGGGCGGATCGTGAATTTGTGGGGCTATTCAACTAGACTCTAACTATTACTCAACTAAAAATATACACCGACCAAAAACAAGTGACCACTCAAACAAATTCCTCGTTCCTTTCGATAGATGCGCACTTGCATAGGTTGGTTGATCTCAGGGTTGCCAAACTTATGATAGGTTTTTAAACATTCTAGATACTTTTTAAAATTCTAAATATCGTTTCAGTGGTGACTGGGGGCCCTTTGTGTCTGCAGCCCAAAAAGCCCTTAAGTAGATCCGCCCCGGTATCTAAGCGTAGGATCATAAGTTTATGGTGGATGTCAATATTAATAATGCACACTAAGAGAAATTTTGAGTGTAAACATCGGTTTCAAATTTTTTTATATGTAAGATACATATATCAATTGGTCATAATTTCTTCTACGCATTTCTCACGTGTATAGTAAAATCACAAACGCCCTTCATCAATCAAATAATTAATGCTCTAATAATATTAATAAGAATATTTCTCAAAATATAAAAATAGACCTAATTTATACATTTACAAATAATAAAAGCTATAAATTTCCAAATTATAAAGGCATTGTGTAATTTTCTCACCATAAACTTGCAAATGATAAAAAACTATACAATTTTTGGGCCATATATTAACAATACTATATAAAAAAGTATGCAGTTTTTCTGTCATAAACAACATTTACAAATGATAAAAAAGTGAGTAATCCTTCCGCCATAGACTAAATAGACCGTGGTTACTTATCATTAATGACTTGTGGCTTTCCATCTCCGTAGTACTGATGAGCGATGTCGAACAGCTCCCTTCTTAGCACCTGAGCCTGAGATCGCAATTGTTGTTCGCGTGTTCTAATCGCTCTGTATTGTTCTTCGCGTTCTTCTGTGTGCTGCTCAATCAGCCACCGGAGGTACAGTTCTGACAACAATTCATAAATTGTTATTACTCATCTATTCGCTCACACTAATCTGGATTTTATCAATGATTAAATACTAGTTAATCCCGCGACCTCGTTTGCTTTCTATTTAGATAAAGGATAAGTCTATGTTCGTCCGCGTGTTACAATTTATCCTCCTACCAAATCGTAATAATATCTATTTCGCCGAATATTTGTAAAAAACAGACAGATACACTTTTCAACTTAATAATATTATTAAAGATAAAGAATAATGCAAGTGTTGGAGAAACCTGATGACGCATTAAAAAAATAAATCTCACCCCACTACCTGAAAGGATTTCGGGACAAAAAGTAGGTTACTTTTTATAGCCGCCTCTAATAGATTTAGAGGTAGATACAGTTCTATCCGGAATTATATATTTATATCAACCTTCATCACCAATAACACAAGGTAGTAAACCAACCAAGGTCACTACGCTCTTAACTAGCTAGACTTATTAACTTAATAAAAGAACATTTAAATGGGCTTACCTTCCCATATGACGTAGCTCATTGGAGCTACCGAGGGCCATATGACGGTTGGCGTGGGGTCGTACAGCGGGTTTATGTACGTTGTGAGCTCGTCGGGTTGGTTCACCCACGACCACACGCTGGTGGTCTGAGTGTACACGCCGCGGGACTCGCGCTCTTGTTCATTGTCGCACAAGAAAGTACCTGATTGTTGACATATTATAACATATCACTAATATTATAATCGCGGAAGTTTGTGAGTATGGATTGATGGATGGATGTTTGTCAGAAAATTAAATAACCTTGTTTATGACATATTAGTCTCCTGGACTAATAACAATAATAAATGTATAGTATAATCTTAGTCCCTGGACACACATAGCCCTGCTATTAACCATTTATTTGCGATTTCAGTAAGGTAATGTGGTATGTTTCGCTCAATTATTTTTTCTAAATATTTATTTAAACAATATATATATGGGTCTGTGATTATGACTTGCCCTATCAATGTGCATTATACAATATGTATATTATAATAAAAAAATACTTACCAAATTGACTAGCATAGGAATGCTCGAACAGCGTAATGAGGAACGACTGGCGGTACTCGAAACTGCAGGGGAACTGTTCGAGGAACTGCCTCACGCAGTCTAAGAATAAGGGGAACGTAGGGGCCGTACGTGAAGAGTGATGGGACTGGTGCGAACTGTACGCGCCGCCACGTAGCCTCGACCCGAACGGGTGGCCAGCCTGCAGCCACTCTCGCTCTATTAGCGCTTGTAATCTGGTTGAAGATTATTAAACGACATGAATGTTTATAATAAGGGTTCATGGTATAGGTACATTTGGTTGTTCAAAATGTGTGACATACTATTTGTGTGTGTGTGTGTAGTGTTGGAGGAGTCACAGATTCGAAAAACTACCTCCCATCGTGGAATCATCTATTATTATTATTAAATATAGTGTATATAATACAGGTTCTATGTTTATGGATATATTTTAAACAAAAAAAGATAAAATTTCATCAAAGTGATGAAATTTTTCTTTTTTTGTTACACCCCTAAGAGATAAGGGTGGCCCATGCCAATTCTATTTTTAATGGCGATATTAATTTATATGAAAAACAACATTTGCCGGGTCAAACAGTAGAAATATAAAACTATATCTCTATATTAGTTTATGTAATTCAACCGAACACATCTTACCCTCTTATAGTTCTGCAGTCGGGATTCAGTATGATTTGCACCAAGGAACACACAAGTAGAGTGGCATCTTCGCCACGAGTGCCGTGAATCAATACGGGCTCTGCTTTCTGTGAATATACAATTTTACTAGTTAACTAATGATTCTCACAACTTCGAATATTCACGCTAAGCTAAAAAGATCTTGTAATAAGGGTATTTTTGTGAAAACATACATAATAAATGAATTTATGATATTCAAAACTCAAACTTTAATGCAATCCAATTGTTAATGAAAGTGCTGCAAACCGTATATTTTGTTGTCATCTATATCTACTATGTGTTTAATTTACCATCAACTCATGTTTGCTGCAATATTTTATATTATTATTATTTCTTAAACTTAAAAATATATTATTATTATTATTATTATAAAAGGTTTATTATTTCTTTAATTAATTTAATGTCTAAGACTTCAGCACCAAATAGAAATGCTATATTTGAATTAATCCTGCTAGCACAACCAACAGTTTTGTTAATTTCAGATATTATATCAATAAATATCGCCATTTTTTCTTTATAAAAAACTTGGATAGGTTGCAATGTTCGTAATTCATTATAACAAATCTCATCAGTTTTTTTTATATTTCGAAATTCTTTTATTTGGTAGAATAGTTTTAACGCCAATTTTTTCAGCAATTCTTTAAAGACTTATGTCGAATATTTAATAGAATTTTCCCTCATTTTTCGTAAAGTAGTAAGCAGACAAATAAAAATTAATAAGATTTTTTTTTAACTCAATTCTCTCAGATCAACAAAAAAAAGTTAAGACAAAAATTGGAAAATATAGGCCAAGTAACATATTGATCTTACACGATCAACTCTTCTACCAAATAAAAGAAATACGAAATATAAAAAAACACTGAGGAGATTTGTAATAATGAGTGTGGTTTTTATAAAAACCCAAACTTAAAACTTGAATACCGTAACCAAACTATGTGCTCTTAAAATAATTGACTACAGGCGGCACCTCGCTAGCGTAATTCAGCGCTCTAGGTCTGTTTGATCGAAAACACAGAACAGAGAAATCAGTAGAAACAGCATAAGAAACTACTTCGAAAGTGGTTTTCGTTAGTTACTAATAGTTTCTTATAACAATATATTTTTCAACACAAAAATGACACTTAAAATAAACTACTGAAACCAACAATTAAAAATTAGTTTTTAGAAAGATAAGAAAGGAAGTAAATGACGCAATGACTGCAAACAGGGATGAATGGAAGCGAAAAACATATTACGCCGACCCCAAATAAATGGGATAAGGAAGAAGCAGATGATGATGATGATGATGACCAACAATTAAAAATTAACCACGTAGTAAATAAATAACTAGGGGATTGGTGTAATATATTTGTTACTTGTTTCTTTAAATTGATTACAAATGAAGTTTATTTGAATACAAATTATTTCTAAGATAAGAGAATGACCACTAATAGTACAATAATATACATAATACACTATACATACTTGGTGTATGTGCTGAGCAATGATGCAGGCAGTGTGTAGTGAGTTCCGCACGCTCTCCGGCCAACCGCTCGACTCCAGCTTTGATACCCATTTATCACTTGATATTTCGCGGTCATTGCACGCTGAAACATATGTTTCAGATTTATTATTATAATTATTATAATAAACCTGGACAATACACACAGCGTCATCTAGTCCCAAGTTAAGCAGAGTAATGGGTACTAGACAATTGATATAAATATTTATATTTTTTTTCTTGTAAATACATACATAATATGCAAAGATAATACCCAGATCCAGATATATATAAACAATCCTACTTATGAATACAAATGTTTGTGCCATGTGAGGAATCAAATTCACGACCATCGGAAGTAAAGCAGTGTGGTAAACCGCTAGACCACCGAAGTTGTCATATAATTATATAATTTTATCCCTCCTGCCAAAGCAATTCAATCTCTAATTACGAGTATGTCCTGCCGAGAAATGTGTGGCGAAATTACCATTGATCATTGGTGCGTGGTGCTATTTATGTCTATAGGTGTCGTTTAGCACTTAGCATAATCATTAAGATGGCATCTAGTTTGCCGTATTAGTTGCATAAAAAAAACTTACAATTGGATAAAATTAACTGGATAAATTATTGCTTACAATGTAATTCATGACGACTATCCTATATCTAATATAATATCTTATCTAATTATAGAATTATTTAATTTTAAACTTTAAAAATTAACTGGATGGATTGAAGCCCATAAACTATCTCATGACCACTGACTTTTTTTTACCAGAAGCATCACTACATCATAATCAAGAGTTAACATAAATGTTAATAAAAAACTATAATACTTTGTAAAAGTGTAAACATATCTAAAATATATCATACCTTCAATTAATTTAGAAAAACTATCTAAGAGTTGTTGTTGGTTATCTACTTCATCCATTGATCTATTGTAGATTTTCCACTGGGAATAATTGGCGTTACTTTCCGTGCCACCGCCTGCAAGAAAGTTATGTTTAATTAGTATAAATTTTTTGTAGAAAAGAAACTACCACTAAACCTTAATTTTGCCGCTCCTTCGGAATGTAGATTTAGTCAAGAAGAATGAGCAAGAAACTCGCCTCTTGCTCTTTTAAACAAACCTAATAGATAAGAGAGTATATGTGAATACAAACTATCAAATAGCAAGAAATTATAACTGCCAAAGTAAGAAATATTCAATTGGTTGTGTAATATAATAAATGAGTCATACTTATAAAAGAAGATCAGTTTACGAGTAGCACCCATTACGATGAATTAGCCAGCCATTGTTACGCTTAATATATGGGCGAGGATAAAAGTGACAATACCACAAAATTAACAAAGAACTATCTAAGATAAAACCCCTGAAAATAATATAACAAACTAATACATATTATTAATTTATGTTTAAGCCATGTACCTTTATTCTGTTGCTGTGAAATAGAATTAGAACTACGTAAATCATATATAACGCCCTTAGTGCCGACAGCGACGACTGTATTCAGTATCGCCTCATCTGGTCTACAGCGCCGGTGTTTCGGGCCGTAAAGTGGCTGCCCAGCGCGTAGTAATACTGCCTAGAATTGAAAAATAAAATAAACATTGTAGTTGTACTCAAAGATACAATACAATATATGAGACCCTATTTACAACAAAGTAAGATAAATAAATTTCCTATTTCTTTTAACAGAAATATTTTTATAACTATGTATGTGTCACTGGGAGATGCAGGTTTCAACTCTCGCAGTGTGAGGCGAGATACTGGGGTCGATATATTATACACACCCTGACGAAGACTCCCAGGAGAAGTCAACCAAAGACAACAATACAACAAGTTCATTAAATTCCCGTACATAGTTATAAAAATAGTACAAAAAAATATACGTTCTAAAAATATAATTATCTATTAAACTATTACACACCCTAACTGCATTCATATCAAATTATATGTTAGGCTAAGGTAAGTTAGGGAAAATACACTACAGCAATAGTAATATATAGAAGAAATATTATATAAGTATATATTAAATAAAATAGCTATTAAAGTTCTTTGAAAAGTATAGGCTACATTTAGTTGTTGGGAGCAAAGTACTATTGCATTATGAAAATCTTATATATAATATACTTGCAAAGAGTAAATAGCTTCCAGGTTCTAAGTGGTTATATACCCTCTGATAAGCTTTATCATCTTTATCATTCCAAATACATAAAAAAAGATTCCATGGCTGCCAAAGCAAATTAGTAGCTACAACGTAACACCAATTAAAAAACAAATTTACCCCATTATTATGCCTATACGAAAGAACGGGGAAACGCCCCCCTTGCCGAAATGTGGCCGCTGCAATGAGAGTGTCATCATCAATGCATTTCGGTACCACTACAGATTTACCATAGCCAGGGCACACTGTATAGTTTTGATTGCAGCGAGACACTCTCCACTCTTCTGTAGCCAGGATTTTTGTAAATTCGCCTTCTAAACTGTAACATACAAATTGTTATTTTTAAATAATACTCAGAATCAAAGTAAGACTATTTTTAGTAGGTAAAAATGATATTGTGCATCTTTTTCAATTCTTCAAATGAGAACCGCCTTCCTTAGCCTTACCCTTTCTATATTTTGTGATTTTCAATGACTAAAAACCCCTCATATTCTTCTTCTCTCATTAACGACAAAAAATGTATTTTAATTTTTATTCATATATTGTATATATTAACAGTTATGTAAAATAACTTTATAGTACAGTAACATGTGACGAGATTTAATATATATGAACTATATTTGAATGCTGTATAAAATAGTAGATATAGTAGGCTAGGAAATAGATAGTACAAATAATACATTGTGGTACTATGCACAAAACTAGGAACCTAGTCTTCTTCTTATAAATACATTTATAACATGTATAAACAACAATAATACTACACAATGGTGTCACATCTTACAATTTACATTACATAACTATACAAAAACAATTTACAGCAGTTTTATTTTATAATAAATATATAACTGTATTATTGACATAATCTTTTTCCTAAAATTTATTTCCTTAATCAAAAGTACTATATTGCATTCTGAAGTTCTGTTAAGATAAATAACTCAATATTAAAACTATAAACAGGAAAAATAAGACACATCTTGTGATTATTTGGTTCACTTGGTGACTTGCTATTGTTGAACTGAATAAGGAACATACTCATGCAGCAATATATTTATATATTTCTCAGTTAATGTCTTAATTAAACTTTTATTAGCAGCATCACATAAAAATATTAATATATATGTAGTTCTATTCATGTATGGAGGTAACACCATATAGTTTTTTTTTACTTAGTTTGAAAGCTAAGTAAAAAAAACTAATAAGCATATAATGAAAACTTTGAAATTTCATATACTTCTTCCACCACATATAACTGGAAATACACTGGCACTATACTTTCTTAGTAGTATTTCAATCTATAAAATATAAATTTACCTATAAAGTGAATAACCATTCTCCATAATAGGATGCATATGTCTATAAAAGAATGGATAGAATAGTCCAGGGTCTTGTAAATTAGATAAATTCTCCAATGTTTGTGCAACAAGATTCAACTCGTTACTGGCAGCAATGTCCAACTGAAATATCCTGAGGTCCTTGCATTTTAGGAACAGTGAGCCTCCTTGCATCACACCACTACTTGGTTTATTTTCTTTCTTCTCTATGCTATCTATATTTTTGTGGAGAAGCTGGAATTAAATATAAATTTCCATATATGTCTTCTATACTAATATAAATATTTCATGAATTTATTACCAAATATAATAAACATTTCATACAATACTAAGCATGAATTATGCTAACAAACACCACTAAATAATTAGTAATAAATTTTTAAAAAGTATGCTTAATGACTTATATCTAGTGAATGCACTAAAACATAAAACACACTTATTTATTGTTGTATTACTTACTATACTTATATAAAAAAAACCAGTGCATTATATATTCTTTTTAATTTTTGTACACATTTGTTACATTCAATTATTATTAAACTTTGTAATTCCTTCCGGTTATAATAATATACTAATAACAAAAAAATATATATTTACATATTATAATAACTGTAGTATTATGTGATATTTAATTATTTATTAGATAAAAAGTCTAAAACATAAATCATAGAAGAATTTAATATAACATACAGTTTGTAAGAAAGTTTAGTAAGAAAAGTTAGAATACATAGAACACTTACCCATAGTTCGCGTACGCCTTCTTTCCTAGAGCTCAAAATAAGGTGATGCCCTGTAATACACACTGTACCATCAACGTTTTCATGATGTGGATATTTTAATATCACTCCATCTAGTTTGTTTATTAATATCAGTTCAATGAATTCCATATCATTGCCTTATGGTTAATATATTTTACTTATAACACACAAGGTACTGACATTGGATAAAATTAAAAATTATGTATATTTAATAATAATGTATTATAGGTATTTAAAGCAAAAAGTCTTCTGATATTCAATCAGACTTCAGACATTTCAGAATTTTGACATATTAACAAATTAATATGTCAATTTTGAGACTTGACAGCTATCAATAGTGTTGTGATTACAAAGAATGTAGTCATGATCACATTAAAACTGAAAACACCAGACAAATATCTATCTAGGTGGACTATTAGTTAAAACAGTTAATATATGTTGTGGAGTCATATTAAGGGGGTCTTCCTATGTTATGGGTTGAAAAAATCGATTTTTTTTTTTTTTCATAAATTGCTCCCTTAACATGTCTAGAATACGGTAGTAAAGCGATTTTAGAAAATTCGAAGTCGTTTTAAAGATACAGCAGGTAAAAGAAAGAGCGGTTCGGAGCGGTGAGTTGGCAGTTAGAGACCGGGCATATTGTGTACCGTCGGCTTTATACCTGGCCTCCCTTTTATTAATATATTTGTTTATACAAGTTTAGACACGTTTCTACAGACTTAAACAGAAATTTCTATTGTTATAATATTTTACCGAAGTTATTTTAGTCTTGGTTGAACTTCGAAGAGAGCAACAGCTACAATTTTTTTTTTTTTCATAATGAGTGGACGGAAAGGAAGTACGAGTGGAAATGTTCATCCTGGTCGTAGTAAAAAAAGAAAGTTTAGTGGAAACCGTTTTACCCACCAAAATGATACGGTATTTACATCAGCTTCGGCCAAAAAACTTAAAAATAACATGAACATGAATGTTCCCATCGCTTCGAATTTCGCATATTGCATTTTGGAGTTTGTTTCTGTATTTGCTGCAATCTCTGAAATAGTTATATGTAAAACTTGTAAAAGTGACGTGTCTATTTCGCGATCAAGTTTCCGAGGCCTAGGCTTTAAAATTATCTTCATTCTGGTCCCAAAGTTGTTGAAATTGCTAGCTACTTAGCAGTTATTATCTTTAATGAAGGTTTTCAAGGTATTTAAAAAGTTATGTCGATTATGGGATGCCCTGTTGGTCGTGAAGCCCAAGCGTATGTTGAGAAACGGGATGAAAAGCGAATCTTACGCTCTGAGCGGCGCGTAAGTGATGTCGTTAAACAAGCCAGGATTGACTCAAGAGCTGGAAAATCTGCTTTAAAAGAGTTTCACGAGGAAGAGGAAGGAATACTCTATGGACCAGGCATCGCCGATTGAGAGTAAGTTGATATTTTAATAGTTTTTAACGGACTTGAAACTTTAAACGCGTTTTTCTCAAAACTGTGTTTTTCAAACTTTCCTCTATTGTATCTCAGAAACGGCTGGACCGAATTACTTGAAATTTACAGGGCACACTCAATATATGTAAACGCATGGAATGAACTATTATCAATCGAAAATTTTCAAAACTTCGATTTTTTTATAGCAAAAAACAAAAAAAAAAAACGCCTAATTTGCAACTTTTATTTCAAATGTCTATCAAAAATCCAATTTTTTTTATATTCATTTGATTATAGGTCATTCCGTGCTTTTAAGCCTACAAATTAAAACGCCGTTTTTTTTTTTTTCAGATAAGCCGATCAGCCGGAATCGTGGAGGAAGTGGGAGCTCTTTTTTTCGAGGCGGGGGTGTTCAGAGCGCTGTAACTCTAGTTTGACTGAATATTTTTAGCTGAAATTTTATATTTATACTGTCCAAATATGTGTTAATAAATGATAAAAAACTTGAAGCTCTAAATATTTACTGGTCGTAGAAAAAAATCCTAAAATATCCCTAAAAAACAGGCCGTCACATAGGAAGACCCCCTTAACCAGCACTGCGATTGGATATAAGTAATTCTATACTTAATGTCTAATTCCAGTATATAATATAGCTATTTAAATGTATTTCTTAAGCTATGGTTAAGCCTGAAATAGTTTTTGGGTAGTGTCCATGTTAATGTTACCCATTATTGGTAATATATAATTTCCAGTAAGTACTGAATACTACTATTCTAATAAAATCGTTCCAACCTTTATTGGTCCATAAACACAGGTTGTATTTTTTCTGAACTTATTCAAATTATTATTATAATTAATAATTCTTATTACTCCAAGTCCGAAATCTCTTGCTTGAATCGATTACAATAAAACGATTTAGACTAAATACAATTCTTTGTAATCATTAGGAATTTACATTTGCTTCTATATTCACAGGATAAATGAATTTGATTTCTCGGTGAGAAAGAGATACATATATTCATGTTGTAATGCTAGAAAGCCTTAAAAAGCTGTAGTAATCTATATCAGCCCCAAGTAAGAATGAGAGAGATTTAACATGTAAAGGAGATGAAACGAGGTTACAAAACATGTCGTCGTTTTTCAACAACATAGATACGAACATAGGTTCGAGTCGAGTCGAAAATTATGGCGATGTGTGGTTTCTTCCGTTTGTTAATATTTTTTACCTAAATTTGTTGCTATTGTGAAGTTCAAATTGCATAAATGATAAACAGGATTGTCGTGACTCTAACTGAAGAAGATCTAGTATTGCCGTCAGTTGTCATTTAAGAGTTGAAGAGCCTAGTCTATGTGAGGTAACTTGTGGATGTATTTGTATGATTATACCGAAAGTAGGTACGTCGAGTTGGATGCCTGTGTTGAGCTTGGTTTAATGACCGGTTCTCGTATATTCAGTATTATAAATATTTTGCGTTCACTTTACATTGAGATGGAGTATATTTTCATTCATGAAAGGTCACGCTATAAATATCAGGTGTTTTGTCGCAGGTGATGGAAGAAACCACAGTAACCCACATGGAGACAGACGTGTCGTCCACTACTGGAGATGTCCTCGACATGCAGGAAGTGACCGGTTCCGATGGTAATGTCGAGATGGTTGTGATTGTGGAGCAGGTCAATGATGATGTAAGCAATAACTGCCTCAATAACGACGACAGTGAGACCAGCCAGGAAGAAGATATTGGTAACCAAAACAGTATTTCATTTTCTCAAATATCCCCAACTAAGAAGTCACCATACAAAGGTCAGAATTCTCATAGCATAATTGATAAATCAGCTATAAGGCCGGAAGTGATACCAAATCCTGATGTACAACATAACAATAGTCTGGAAATTATTGATTTAGTGCATTCAGAAGAAACAGTAGACTCTTCTTGTAAGACTGATACCCAAATATCTCCTAATAAAGAGTCCCTTAATAAATCATCAAATAAAGAAATACAGAATATTCCAGATAAAGAAATCCAGAGTTCCCCAAATAAAGAAACTCAGAGAATTCCAAACAAAGAAATTCCAAGAACTGTGAATATAGGTATTCAGATAACTTCAAATAAAGAAATCCAGAGAACTCCAAATAAAGAAATTCAGAGAACTCCTAATAAAGAAATTCAGAGGACTCCAAATAAAGACATTCAGAGGACTCCTAATAAAGAAATTCAGAGAACTCCAAATAAAGAAATTCAGAGGACACCAAATAAAGAAATTCAAAGGACACCAAATATAGAAATTCAGAGAACTCCAAATAAAGACATGCAGAGAACTCCAATTAAAGACACTCAGAGAACTCCAAATAAGGAAATTCAGCTATATAAAGAAATAAAGAGATCACCGATTAAGGTAAGCCAAAATACTTCAAATTCTGAGACTGAAATCACCTTAAGTACCACATACCAGAGTTCGCAAAATATGGAAATTGAAATATCTTCTATTAAACGGTCAGAGGCAACACCAGATAAAATTCCAACTGATAAGTTAAATGTACAAAACCCTCCTCAAATACTGTCCATAAAATTACAAGAAGCAATAAGAAGGCCAATTAAAGAAATTTCAGAAAACCTAAAAATTAATGGTAAACATGGGGTGGCAGACACTGGAAACATAGGAAGCAATGGTAATACTGTTCCAATAGAAGTTATGATAGGGAAAGAAAGTTCAAATGATTCCCAGATGGATACAGGCTCTGATATATCAGAGAGGGACCATAATAAAAGTATAAGTAGGGAGCTCAAATCTCTAATAAATTCTGCCAAAGAGTCGAAGATAATTAGTGAATGCACTCAACTTACAAGCAAGACCAGGAAGTCAAGGTCTAATTTAGACACTTCAAATACAAGTCTCAATGCTTCTGTGGAAGCTGACAAAATATTGGTTGTAAGACGAAACAGTAGCAACTCATTGAAGAGCAATTCCAGTGAGAAGTCAGAGAAGATAGCAGTCAAAAGATCCATGAGGTCCCAGAATCCTGAGTTTGCAAACAAGGTAAAATTGTTTCTCAATTCAGTAAAAAAAGCACAAAAATATGCCGATGATATATCTGATGTGGAGATGGAGGAAGTTAAAAGTAAAGAGCAGCAAAATAATGCAGTCACTTATACACCTAAGAGGAAAAGGGCTGATGTTGAAGTAAGTTAATATTTGTAACCTTTTTGTTAACTGTACAGTAAATCTTAAGAAATCAGCAACAATATTACTTAGAATATTGTACTTATGTCTTGTACAGGTATGTAATATAATTTCCCATGCATAAAATTGAGTAAAATTCAGTCTTTGTTATGGATTACTGTAAATTATTAGTAGTCCAAAAACACATTTAGAGCTAGCATTAAAAGTAGGTACATACATCTCATACATACATCAACTGTAAATTTCTTTTCTCAAGTGGGTAGATTGGCTTTTTTAAATATTTTTTACACCATAATGCATGTCAACAATATGTTATTAAAAATGGCGATGACATTTCTCCTGTCAAGTGATAAAAATGTTTTGTGTTCAGGTTTAGTAATTTTTGATTGATATAAATAGTGATTAATTACATTACATTGAAAATAGTATTTAACTTCCTATCTTTCAATATCAGGTTCAAGACAAATCAAACAAGCTCCGGTCAGACTCATACTGTTGGAGATGCCACTGGGCTGTAGAGCAGCCGGTTAATGAGAAAACTCATGTACCAATGGAATGCACAGTCTGTCCAAGATCCTTTCACTATAAGTGCCTGTCTGGTGTGGAGCGAAGTAAAATTGATCCAGAAAAAAGCTGGGTGTGCCCTGAATGTATGGGAGTGCTGCATGCCGAAAGTTCAGAGACCAGGTGAGGGCTTTGCAAGATCTTTTATTAGATTTATATTCTTATATTTAATGGTTATCTATGCCTACTCCATAGATATATATAAAATATATATTCGTGTTTATAGATCTATGTTCAAACAATTATATGTATTTGAATTACTTAGTATCCAAAAGTATAACCTTTGACATATGGTTTAGTAATAACATATCAAATTCAAAACTTTTATTGACTAAACATTTGTCAGAAGTATTTCCGGAAAAAGGTAAACTGATCGGATTTAAATATCAATCATAAAACTCCATATTCACTTCAATTTTAATTATTGATATATTATTTTTGTACACGTTATTTTAATGACCCATTTGAATAACTTTTATTAGACAAAATAATAAGTGAACTAAGTTTATTCGCAACAATTTACTTTCAGATCAGTAGCTATGAAGAAAATATCACTGGGAATGCTACAAGAACTCCTGAAATACGCATTGGAGAGAATGATGGTACTCAATGGGGTAATGTCACCATTTGCTTTCAATAACTGTTAATCTTATAATATATATTTATCCTCCTATCCTATATGTACTTTGTACTATAACTATTCTCTATAAAATAATCAAATTTCTGTTAAAATATATTACATATTTATAAAACATAATTCCATCGAGAATATAAAGGAACTATGTTGACGCAGAAGTTCTGTAACACAGCTCTTTGTCTTCTCTAAATATTCCGTGTTTATTTTATAATCATAAATGAGTAATATAATAGTATCGCAACTGCGAAATATTCATAATACTAAATATTTCTAGCGAATTCCCGATACAAATATATTTTTAGTCACTAGAGAACTGTGATTATTTAGATATCGGCAAATACGAAGACGAACAGATAAACAAAGTACTGCAAAATATGTGTAAATATATATTAAAAAGGAATATAGCGATTATAAATATTTATCTGTACAACTTTTTGCACGCAGGGAATTGGAAGGAAATGCTTATAGATTTTATAGTATGTATTTATGTCTATCATAACATTGTGATTCTGGGTATTTGGTGTATATATTTTTAAGGATAGTAAGGGATGCCTTCTTATACCTTCTGTATCTGCTGGGATAGTCCTGTTTTCGATGTCTCTTCACTCCACATGTATATTATAGCTATTTTTTATAACAGCTAGCTAATATATTTATCTAGCTGTTGTGTGTTTAGTTTACTTACATAAAACAAAGGAAATTAAAAAACGACTAGTTCGATCTTGATAAAATTTATATAGGAAAAAGCGGGACGCGCCAGCTTTCAAATAAAAAAAATATAACCGCTTTATGTTAACAAAAAAGTTAGTTTTGAGAGGTTGTGTAGAGAAAAAAACAGTCGAATTGACAACCTCCTCCTTTATTGAAGTCGGTTGAAACTACTATTATGTATATGATATGACAACCTAACGACGACAATATGTAATAAAATTATGTACAATTTAATTTATAAATAAATTCAATTTTCAGATTCAGATGCTAAAAAGTCTCGACCATCCTATGGTCGAGATTTTCTAGTAACCCTTTATAGTTAAGTATGTATAAGTTTATGTGATATATATTTCATGACCTACTTAGGTATGCATCTAATGCCGTAAAATGGTTAGTATTGAGTACATGTGCCTCTAAACTACATATACTGTAGAGAGTATTACTTCCACAAGACACTGTAACGTAGACTGTAGACTGTCGATCGCATTAAAATGTAAGTGGCATACGGCAATACGGCTTGCTGCAGACCGGCCAGGCTTAGTAAAATGACCTTGTAGTTTATCTGCGTAGCTGCGCGATCCCCGTTCGCGACGCGTGACGCCATTTTCTTTCTCGCTCTATTACTCCCAATCGATATCCAAGCATCGATATACCCGTCTCTCTCTGTACTAATAATAAACACGTCTATGCATGTGTAACAACACCGTTGTAATTGTGTGTATGTACGTTTTTCTTTATACATCTCTGTGTCATGCTTTTCTATTAGCAGACATGTTTATTGTATTTCAAGTGATACCTCACTCAATGCAACGCTCTATTACATTCTATTTATTTATATCTAGCTCCATCCTATGGCACTGCCCATGTGGAATATGCTATCCTACTCCCTTTATTGTAACGTTCTATAGATGATAAAATTGACTATATCTTCAATTATTTTTTTGAGGTTAACTATCACTAACAATCATAAAAAATCGAATCTTTCGACTTTATAATATTAGCAGTGATAATTTTAGAACACAAATACTTTCAATACCTACTCGTTACGATGTCCATCTTTGTGATAATAAATGAATTTTATGTACACTATCAGAATAATATTATAATGATACAGACTGGTAAATATGTAGTAGTAATATATCGGTGTACCTACTGTATGGGTCTCAAACTGATGAAAACATGTAATTTTGTATTATTTTATAATTAAATAACAATTACAGGTAGGACAATGTGTTGTATAAAATACCGTAACACTTAAAAAGTATTAAATTAAAAACATATGGAATACATTAAAGAGTTCCCGGCGGTGGGTTGCCAACAATTGTCGTCATAACACACTCCCATTTTAAATATAACATAAATCCTATCCTATAATACTAATCACTTTTTTATGTCTGTAAATGTGTAGATAATAATTCTTTAAACTTTGCTGGCAACATTGTTATTTAACAACATATCAAAGTCATATTCATATAAGATATTTTTACCATTTATGTACGGTAAATTATCCCATCCTCGTCGCCATTTTGTAAAATACGTATATCTATATCATTTATTTTATTAGAATTAATAATTTGTGACATATGTCAATAGAAAATTCATATCAAATATTTTAACTAACGACTGGCCAGTATATGACAAACTGTGTAATATCAACTTAATTAAATGTTATGAAATCATTCGTATACATACACTATAATGATTTGATTGTCCACAATAGCCGGAGTTAAACTACTGCCAACTGAATGATTGACGGTTCGCCCCCTACATAAGCGTCTCTGGTATTAATTTTGTTTGATTTACATAATTCTCTTCGATGATACATATTGGACACAGTTATCTAGATACTCCAAGACAATCGTATCGGCAATACTTGTAATTAATTAAGGCAGTAAGACAAATTAAATATTGTCTATTAAGCACTACACAAATCGTGTCACATCACCTTACAATTTTCTATTATTATTTAGTATATATTTGACGACCTCGGTGGTCTAACACACGCGGTTTAACACACTTTACTTCCGATGGTCGCTGGTTCCATTCCCCTCACTGTGCAAACAAAAAACGGGGTTATCTGGGTGTTTTCTAAGTATATTATGGGTATATTTTTTAAATGACTAAGCCACGAAGATATGAACTAAGCTTCGTGGCTTAGTCGTTTAATAACCTGAATTACACCCATGAGGTTGTGACTTCAAATCTGGCCGACACCAACAAAAAAACGTTGTGGTAATTTATATTTCGACTAACTTTCCGCTGAAGAAAACACGAACCAAATCGAAAAACGCGCGGTTGTGGAGTCACGGATGCGTTCAAATTATATAGATTGAAATGTGGGCAAGTCAAGTGTTGCGTTCACCACAACATTGACAATGCCCCAGGTCCATGGGAAATGTACTTAAATGTTCATTCGTGAGTTCAAGGATTTTAAAGTTGTTATTAATCTAGGTATGCATATATCAAATAATCGGATAAAGGCGGGGAAAGAAGATTGTTACGTGGACTAATATCCCCATTGCTAATAATATACCATGACATGTTGACCTTCACGCGTTTCCCTCCCGAAACCATCGTGATAAACTCGTGGTGAATTTGTCACTGATGGGGATAATTGACCTGACCTCATGCTCATTTTGTCATTCTCCACTGGTGCCTCGCCAGCGTAAACTGTTAGCACAGGCGGGTGAACCATTCCATTATCATCTATAAAAAAAATAATAGATTAACAGATTGTATAATTTTACCCGATTTCCCGTGACACATGCCTCGGAATAGTAGTAATATCATTATTTTTTTTATTTGAACATAATTTTGATTAATCCTGTATATGTTTGTCGAACAGGTGGAGCCATTCATGCAGCCAGTAGATCGGACGGCATTCACTGACTACGACAAGTACGTAGTACATCCAATGGATCTGACACTAATGAAGCAAAACATCGAACTGGGCAGATACGGCAGCACGGAGGCCTTCTTAGCAGACGCGCAATGGATACTACACAACAGCATTATATTCAATACATGTAAGTCTCTTTAGTATGTCATTGTTAATTGTGGTTGACTTAAACTTACCTATAGGTTGATTAATGTAGGAAGCAACAAAGGAATATATTAATCATAGTATTTGGCGTACCATTGTCTCTTAGAGACAGATGTGATATTTATTTCAACACATTCTTTTTACTTTATTGTATGCAGTTGCGCGCGCACACACAGACATATCTTCCTGCGATTACACTTATTTATAAATTATAAATTATCGTTTGCAGTGCAGTCAAAATTGACTGGTGGTGCCCGCGGTCTGGTTCGCTCCTGCCGCGCCGAGATGGGCGAGATCGAAGCGTGCCCGGAGTGCTACGCCGCCGCACATGCTCGCCGCCCCACGTGGTTCACAGACGTCTGCTCTACGCCACATGTGTTACTCTGGGCGAAGCTTAAAGGTCTGTCTCCATCCGTGACGATCAGATTAAAGTCGTATCCGTCAGACGGGAGTTTGCCTTCAGCCGCTCCATAAGTCCTTCCGCGGGTTTACAGTGCCATCTGCACTCGCCTCCCATCGTCCGGCGAAGCTGTAAAGGCCACCTACGGCCAACAGCATTCGAGTAGTAAAAAAATCCCGGGACAGTAATATTACGCGTAAAGATTTTTACTTTTTACAAAGCATTATTCTCAGTCAATTCATAACAGGTTTCCCGTACTGGCCAGCGAAAGGTATGTCGGTTAGTAACGCGGGTATGGTTGACGTGAGATTCTTTGGTGCACACGACCGCGCCTGGGTACCAGCCAAGGACTGCTACCTGTACTCCGAAAAAGACCCCAACAACTTTCGCACAAAGAGACAAGATATTCTGGATAGTATGCAGGTATTATGCACTATTATTTTACTCGAAATGTCTAATATTTCGCTTTCTTACTAACTTACACTATTATAAAATATGTTTGCATCATTAATTTCGCGAAATCATTCATTTATGTGAAATGTAAATTAGATTTTACGGCTGAATTATGGCATCATTCATCATCCGATTTTATGGAAATGGACAGTTTTCATTTAGATCGACATTTCTAAAAATACATATTAGGATAGCAAAAATAAATGCTACATTTGAATTAAAATGCCAGATTTTTCTAAATCATAAAGTGATTTTAATACAGAAATTTGTATTTTTTATTGCAGGAAGCGGAACAACATATACGGAATATATCACGAAAATACGGGAAATTCGTGTATCCACCATTTAAAACGCAGTTCGAACCATTAAAACTAAATGAACAGCTCAAAATAATGGTCAGTAACAATTAATGAATAACATTATTTGAACTTATATCTATAATTTGCAATAGTAATGTTTGACTTAAGACACGAACTGCAGTGTTGTACCTTTCTAATATTACTTGATACAAGCCGAGTTTCTTGTCAGTTCTTCTCAGCTCAAAAGCACTCTGAAGTAATCGTACATTTGACATATCGTAACAATCTATAATAGACCTACATGATTAAAATTAATTTGATTTTGATCTTTGAAATAAAATCAATTCGACATAAGTGAGACTTAAGTGGGTAAGACCAGAATGAGACATCACAGATAACTTTATACAGTCTACCTATCTGTCCTTACTTTGTTTTTTATTGTGTATAACTAAATATTTTTCGTGGAAGATCATTGAATAATTCTCCTGCCTGTGCTCGTGGTATTTATTGGCAGGGCACCAGTGTAAAATTATAAGATTTTAAAATTAGGTCAAATGATCAATCATTTTCGAATAATTTTATATTGGCATAATCCTCACCTAACTGAACTATTATTAAATACTTATACTCGTACATTATTTTCAGATACCGTCTTTTGAAGGTGAAATACGTACGCCTATAAAAGAGAAGAGGTTGTCGAACAGCTCATCACCATTGGTAAAAGATAAAAGCAGATCACACCATAAAAGTTTCAAGTACTCCGCCCATGAAGGGTGAGTATTTTGTCTAATTTCAAAGAACTACATTATTTTTTGAAATTAGACAATTACAATAACATTAGTTGTGCTTGGATCAACTGTTTTTTTTGTTTGTGTATATGCTAAATGGCATAACTATGCTGTGTATAATTACTAATGGTGTAAAATAAAGTTTTATAAAATTAATGTCATTGTAAATTGTTAGGTTTTACTTCATTTGGCTCTAAATTATCTTAAGTTGCCATGAAGATTAATTATACTGGTAGACAATGCACAGTTTGAATAATAAGGAAAATTTCCCTATAGAAAGAATTAACGAAATGGTTATATATTCTTTATATTTATTGCAAAGTGTAATGTTCTTTTTTAATTTACAGTGATATGAGTGATGGTGAGGAAACAGTACTATCTCGCAAGATGGCTGACGGTGCTGAAATTGCAAGAGTGGATGACGACTTTTCTATTGAGAAGTAAGATTTTGTTACATATTTAGACAAATTTGATTTATTTTATAGTAGGATAAATTTGATTTATTTGTGAAAAAATGTCTAGAATAAGCATCACCTCTATATAGCTATATTTTATGCAAATAACATATGCTTATTTATATTATTTTTTTTATTTACTAATAGAGACACGACAATGGAAGGAGACAAATCTTCGTCTCGAATTAAAGATAAAGAGTCTTCTAGAAAACGACGTCGCTCGAACATGGAAGAGGCTATTATTACTATAATGGATAGTAAAGAGAAAAGGAAACGTTTAAGGAACGAGAATAAAGTTAATTCGCAAGAACCTAGTTGTAGTAGTAATGATATTGAAATGAAGGCGTTACACAACAAAGGTAAAGATACAAACGTAAAGAAAGAAGAAGTAACAAGTTTATTGAAGGTGAAAAGCAGTGAACCTGCAAATATACTTTCAAATAAAAGTGAAATTGATAAAACTGTACTTAAGGTAGCTCCTATTAAAATAATAGCAACACCCAAAGGAAATAGACAGATATTTAAAACAAGTACCCCTAATGATGCGGATGAAGTTGATAAAAGTACTTCTCATAAGCAAAAGTCGAAATCGCATAAAACCTCTCATGATAAAGATAGGAGGAAAAGTAAAGATGAAAAGTCAAGACATGAAAAGCGCAGAAATTCACGGCATAAGAGGTCATTGATCAATGATAGCAATTTAGAAGATAAACATGACAAAAGCGACGAAAACATAATTGACAAAAGTACTGACAGCAAAAATAATAGCATATCAAATAAAAATTTAAGCAGTGTTAGTCTAGTGTCTACTGATAAATCTAATAAGCAAAACGGTGAGAATCTTCAAGATTGTGTGGTATTTGACGATGATACAAGCTTAGCAGTAATAGCTAGGGAAACAAAAAGTAATAGTAATCACATATCGTGTCTTCCTACCATTAGTTGCGTTCGAAGCCTGTCCACTATAGCTCAGAGCAGTAGTACAACAACAACAACTACCACCGCGTCCAACAAAACTCTAGAAGTTACTATCGAACCTACAGAATCAAATATTTTTAGAACAACAAGTACAGAAAACGTCCGAAATATGAAGGAGGCTGCTTCCAAACTAGAAAAGCTTAGAAACAACGCTGATAAACCGGTGGTTGGCCGCGTGGGGGTTCGAGCTTTCGCGCGAATGGCGTCTTCACCAGAGAAGCAACCGAATAAAGACGTCGAAGTAGAAATTAAAGCAGAACCAGTGGATTTAGATGATGCTGATCGGCACAACGAAAAGATGGATTTGATGAACGCGTTCCAGTTACGACCAGTAAATCCACAAGCTCCAAGTTTGCGAGAAGTGAGGATCAATAAGGTGGTAGTGACTCCTGTAACCGCTAAAAAAGTACCCGCGAAAATTACAGAGGTGAAGCCGAGAGCGAAGAAGACGTTTCCGGTGCCGCGGAAGCCTGATGAGAATCGGTCGGAGCTGAATGGCAAGAACTCTATGGTTTATATTCCCATACAGCCGCCGGCTACTCCCGGACCAGCACCCCGTCCGCCGCGTCCTGCAGTACTTCCCTCAAATTCCGTGCCACCACTTCGGGCGAAGACGCAGGTGATCACTAGTATTGGTGAGTAGTTTTTGTTCACGTGATAATTTTACTTAAAAGAAGATTGTAGATTTTATAACTGATGTGCCCTATATAGTCCATATAGGGAACATTTTCGACGGCTTAGCTAGCGGCTAGCAGCAGTTTAGCACACCGCTTTACTTCCTATGGTAACAGGATCGATTCCTAGCACAGTACAAACATTTGTTATATTCAAAGAGCATTTACAAAAAAAAATAGGTATTTATATCAGTTGTCTAGTATCTACATATATACATAATACAAGCTCTGTTTAGCTTGGGATTAGGTAGTGCAGTGTGAGTGGTCCTGACATATTATTATATTATTAATTTATTGAGAACACTAACAGATGTGACAACTTTAGTGCTCTAGTGGTTTGCCGTTCTTCCAATTCGCTTCCTCGCACGGTACAAAACTGTATTCGTGAGTATGATTATTTCTCTCAATCTGGGTGTTTTTTACATATATTAATTGCGCAATTAGGAGGTCGTAATATTTGTTCGTGTTCTCAGTAAATTATGTAAAATTTCCAGCGAACGTGGTGCACACGTCATCATCAGTGATACCAGCGCTGGGCGCGGCCAACCCGAGCCCTCCGCTGTTGCCGCTGGTGTCGGCCGCCGGGCCCAGCGTGCCCACCACCGTGCACACCGTGCCGCTCATCACCTCCGTCAACGGCCAGTGGACCTTCAGTCTACAGCCGATCATGTCCGTGGGCGGTCTCGATGTAAGTATCAATGTCTAAATGACAAAAAGAGAACAAATAAACATTAAATTCAAGGGGATTGTGAGGTATATATACAAAACTATCCCTTGTCAACAAGTACAACTCTGTATTGAAACCAATTTGGTCCTATGGCATTCAACCATGCGGTTCAGCTGTAAACTTCAACATAAGTATAATATAAAAGGCTGAAAATAACATCTTGTAAGAGCTTGTTAATGCCACTTTGTTTGGCAAAAACATCTAACGTTTTGTGCATCGCAATACAAACACAGTAACCGAAGAGATAAATCACTGGTATTCCAAATAGAATAAAAAATTCATCCATGCTCATTAATAATGTTATATGTTTAACACCGTTATAATGTTAGTAATATTGCTGTGTATGTGATTTATATTAATTAGTAATTTTCATATTACAGGGTACACATTCTCCGCCCCTAATAAACGGGTTACCAGAACGTAACTCTGGTACCATAATGCCGCTGTCGGCTGCGGCTGCTCTCGCTGCCGCCTCTAATACCTCGCAGCAGCAGTCTCCTGCGCTGCCCTCGATAACTGCCCCCGCGCCTCAAGTTACCGCATCCACGCCTGCAGTACCCGTCAAAGTCATCACACCCGTCACACCCGCCACACCTGGTACACCTGGAACGGCTTCCACGCAGCTTGCACCCAAGTGCAGCTGCATTACCAATGACGCCTCTGCTAAATCTGGAGAGGTAATGATCATCAGTATAAGTTCATTCATTATGCGCGGCACAGCAGGTAGATTTCATGTACCTGGTAAGAATCGTAACTAATGTTATAGATGCGAAAATGATTTTGTTTGACACGCTTTCACGACTAAACGGCTGAATCGATTACAATGAATTTTTATATAGAGATTGATAAAACAGTGGAAGCGGATATGAATAGGAAAATTGTATGCACCTGCGAACTTATTGTCTACCTTTTTACTCCATTTATGTGTGCATAGACTGACAGGAGAATTATGCGATTAAATCATTATAACATGTTCGTGTATTGAACTGATTATGGTATTGTGTATATTGTTGTATCGACAAATTGAAATAATTTCCAATATTTGAAATTAGTACAATACTAAAATAAATTTTCATTTGTCATTTAGGAAATTAGCTACAAAAATATTACCTCAATTTTCATATTTTGATCACTGGGTTTTCTTACCTCTAAAGTTTTAATGTTGCCTACAGCTCCCTCGGTTGCAACAGCGGCCGGCGTTGATGAATCCGTTGGATACCAACACGCCCGTCGGCCTGGTACCGCCTCCATCTACTGCCGGTCCTGTCACCGCCAAACTCAATCAGAATGCTGTTAAGGTACGAGTTAACATAAGGAATGTAAAATAGACCTAATTGCATTATGTCGAAACGTAATTAATGATAATAACAACAAATATAAGTTTTAAGTAGCGAAGTTTTAAATAATAGTATATGATCTATACTAGTATATGATGAACGTATCAAACTACGCCGTTTAAATATTCCATGATCGTCGGTTCGATCACTACATTGTAATGAAACATTCTATGACTATTTCTGTTTTGATTTGGACGTTTTTATATATGTAATACTAATATTAATATAAAATATGTTTAAGTATGGTCTATCAGTCTGTGTTGTCTTGATGCTGTGCTAGTAGTAGTGCGCGATATAATACTTCTAATTACATTTGCGTGGTCTAGCAGTTTAGCACATCACCTTATTTCCAATGGTCGTCGCGAGTTATATCCTCGGATACTTCCCTTTTCAATAGGTGCCTTGCACAATACTAATATTTGTATTCATGAGTATCATCTTATTGTTTTTATGTGCATTACTATGTATTTACAAAAAAAGTTAAATATGTCTTCTAGTGTATAATAGGACAAGGTACTTGGGCACTAGATGGCGATGTGTTAATTGCCCTGAGATATGCTTATATAATTTGTAAATGTTTCCAGTTGACAGATTTCTTCCGTACACTACTGGAGGATACTTTAGAGAAGGTGGACGACCCATCGTCGCAACTGGCCACCCTACGGATGCAGCTAGAGCGATGCAAGTGGCGGCACCAACAAGAGGTCGACGAGATCAAACACAATCACGGTATATTATTTACTAGCTGACCTCTCGACATCGTATCAATACAATTTCTTTTTGTTTGGAATAAATTAAACAAACATTAGGTGAAATTTATATTATTATTAACATCATGGTAAATCCAACACTTGATATGTCCACATTTCACTGGGTATATTTGAAACCAATATGGCAGGGGGCGAGCCTACTGTTATTTCTTGGATTAATTAACAGTTTGTTATATGTGACTACTTCATCATAGAGTCAGTCAAATATATTGACATTCAAAGTTTTGTAGCGAACAGATTTGAACTCACTACCTTTTGTGTGTAAGTGTGGTAGCAAACCACTAGGTTATGATGTTCTTCGTTGTAATATATTCTATACGTATCTGTATGTATTTGCACAGATTTGACATTGGCTGAGATGCGAGCTTCATTCGAGAGGGAGAAGAAACGGGCAGTGAGCGAAGCTCGCCGCGCTGCGCAGGTTGATCTTGAAGCTGCCGTTAAACTTACCAAGTCGAAGCAATGGTGAGTTGTTAAATATACCATAAAGCTGACCTGCGCAACTTCGTCTGTAACACACGTGACATTATAGTTCTTTCAATTTACATGTTTTTAAATTATAGACTACGTGTTATTCTGATGCATAATCTATATTATTGTGAAGTTTCATCCAACAAACATTCAACCATCTATCCATACTCAGAAAGTTTTGCGTTTAAATAATATCTATATACAAATCCTATTACTGCCGCCAGGTTGCTTGTGTGCTTTATTCGTTTTGAAGATTTACTTATGAAGCTGTAATGACTACTAAACATCCATTCCTCTATGAATTTAATAGTATATTTTTCAATTTGTTCATATCGATTAATATGTATAATCGAGTATATTTGCATGTTGCAAAGGTTGACTGGTATAGAATGCCATTGTAATAAGTACCACATTTACATGTCCATAAAACTTAAATTCCTGTGTGCAGGTGCGTAAACTGCAGCCAAGAGGCACAGTTCTACTGTTGCTGGAACACGTCGTACTGCGACTATCCGTGTCAGCGCGCCCACTGGTCCCAGCACTATGCCGTCTGCGCGCAACAGCGATTGCAGGTAAATTATTGTTGTTATTTATTTTATTTAATCTACTAATAGCCCATATTATAAATATTCGACTAATATATACAAAATACATATGCAATAAATAGTGTCTGTGGTCACAGCGCTGTCGACTGCAATCTGCCACGGTAGCGCTGATACATCCCGTTCGTAGTCCTTCTTCATGAAGGTGAACAGCATGTTAGTGGGACCCAGGTTACAAACGCCTTGAAACTCGCGTTGTGACTCAACTCCAGCTACGTCACTAAATGCCAGATTACTCTTAACCGTAAACCACAATAGACACTATTGATAGATAGTGATAGTATCTTTGGTAAATATATATCAATATAATGTTGTTTATAGAATGAACTACTATACAGGATTCTCAATCTCTCCAAGTTTTTGTATTAAATTTATGTTTTAGTCAACAAGTACAATATTTTTATTACATTGTAATATATCTTCATTTACAAATATTAAATACATTACAGGATGGCATCAACAGCAACGACAAAATAGGAACCCCACCAGAAAGCAGACTACAACCACAACCAGACCTCCCAGTGAGTTATTTAATTTAAATAGTTATTGTCATTAAAATGATTATTTCTAAATATTTAACTTATCAGTGAAGTGCATAATTTTAATATTTGAGAACGGGCAAATAGAGCTGTGTTAGGGATTTACATTAATACACCTTACTGTAAAGCTTTTATTTGTCACCTGATAAAATGAACACTAAATTGTAAGTACATGTTACCACAACACATTAGTGAGACTTCTGAGATTAGTGCGCTGAAATGCTAGGGCAAATATTATAATGTCAATAATAACAGTTTACCTCAAATATCTTTCATTCCTTTCATGAAATAGTACCAATCATGTCATGACTGTTATGATATGGATGAGGTAGTCAGAGACATTGACAATTATAGACATCATTTTGAACACAGAGTATTACTAATATTTTTAAACATCTTTCATTTACAAACAGCAGTATGTTAGATCAATTATGATATATGATTTTTTCTTTTTTACCCAGACCAATACAAACAATCAAGTATTTGTACCGTGCGATAAATCGAACCCGCGACTATCGATTTTATAATACGGAAGTACTACCGAGGCCGTTACATAAATTTACTTTCACTAATCCGTTTTTCACCTATTAAGAAGACGGTGCAATAACAAGACTAGCATATTACATAGCATGGTTATATTGGCGTTACAGAAAGCGGCACCAGAGCTGGCGGCCGCCAGCCCCTTAGCGAGGCTGGCGCCCGACCACAACCAAAAGACTTCCATTATAAGTAAGTATACAAATACACATCGCTTTATTTTATGTTACTGATTCCAGTTAACTTGTTTACCCAATGGTAAACAAGCTGAAAGCCCACCTGACAAATGGTGACCGTTGCCTATACATTACCGTTCCGACATCATGTAATGCTCGTGTTACCACCACCAATCGTTGCCATTGCAGAATACTAAGATTTTATGTCTTCATATCCTGTAATTTTACAGCTATATCTCACCGTTTAATCAAAATACATCCTACGAGATAAGCTGCTTGGCTTGGTGGTTGAAACAATATTAAAACCTATGATACAACAGATTTGTTTTTACCCACGATTTACTCCGTGTGAACTTGATTCAACAAAGCAAATGTAATCAGTTCTTATGCATCTTAGATATATGAGATATATACTGTTGGTATGCCAAAATTCATGACGATTAATCAAATTTGTAAGATAACAAATAACATACATTACACATTTGTAACCTGCAGCGCTTTCACCTCAGGTAAAAATCCTATCTTGTGTGTTAATTACTTATCTACCTGATTACCAAGTTTCATTCTAAACTATCCAGCAGTTTTACTTTACTCACAAATATTTGCGTTTATAATATTAGTAGGAGAGGTCACACGCACAACGGCCCAAATAAGAGGCTAATTGCAGAGACTGGAGTTCAATTTTACATTTTTATTAGTAGGAGATTAATTAGGAATATATAATAATGAATAACGACGGTATATTTGTGACATAAAGATGTCCACTGAAGCAAAGCAAGTATAGAGTTGTCTAAACAACTGATTGAGTAAAATGTATACAGTATATATGAAGAAATGATCTCTATCTAACATAGAGTAGGACTTTAAACCACAATACCAAATGATATTTACTTAAACGTTGAGACGTTTTTCAACATTCACAATCCACAACTAAACACAAGAATGAGTCTTGTGTTTAGTTGTGGATTGTGAATGTTTGTCAATTCAGTAGAGAGCCTGAACTGATGGATTATAGTGTGTTAAAATTCTGTTAAAAATTTGATATGAATATATGCAAAAATAAAGTAATAATATTATATTTATCTATTGTATCTGCAACTGGCAAAAGGCTTGTTTTCCACTATCGTAGTATTAACAAAAGACATTCCATATTAAACAATTTAAAAAAAGGTTTACGTATGACAATGGCAAACGAGTTTGTGATGCTTCAACACACACTGTTGTGGAATAAAATTTCAATAATATTAATATTTTGTATAGTGAGCATGGTCGAGGATACGAGCGGAAACCAGACGATGAAGTGCGTTGGCACTTACAAACCGGCCGCGTCCAGCTCCGCGCCCGCACCTATCCCGCCAGTCACAATTGTAAACAAACAAGTATGTTCATTTTTGATGTGAATATTATTACCTTATATCTCTCATATTGAGCTTTGTTCCCTGTTTCCCATTTAGTAATTCAATGTAAATTCTACTGTAGTATTTCTATATGTAATTAGAGACAGAATTATGTAAGAAAAGAAAATGTAAAAAATAGTTCATGTGATATGTCAAAATAAATACTATTTCAGAATTTCACGTTTAAATACGAGCTATTTATTACCCGCGACTTCGTCTGCTTTTTATGATAAAAGATATATATCGTCCTCAGGATACAGTCTTATCTTTCTGTCAAATTTCTTTGATATCTGTTCAACCATTTAGTCATGATAAAGTAATAAACTGATGTGACACACTTACATTTAAAAATTTTAAAAATGCATTGCAATTTCAATAATAATAATAGTAGTATTTAGTCAATGAATTTGGCAATATTACCTTTTGTTTAGTATGAAACATTAATTTATTTTAGGTAATCGCCGCTGACGATAACAACGCGTCTAAGAAGGTGGTGACCTCAGGCGGTTATCTGATAGTGGGGTCGAACAACAACACCCCTCTGGTGACTGCGGGTCGTCGTTCCCACGCCATCCAATACTTCACGTGAACCGCATGCATACGTATGCACCGAACACGCTGTGATTTTATTCATAACTAACTGTAAACCGCGGTTATATCTGCCCGGATTAGGATTAAAAATATTCTATGTACCATGATAAAGTCCATCTGTGTTTCAAGGTTTGTTCAAATTGATTCGGCTATTTAAATACGATTCTTAAGATCTTATGAAGTGAAAGAAGTATGAAGATATCTTATCTTGTGTATAAGATTTGTCAAGTATCAAGTGTGTTGAAAATCTCTTCCTTTTTCAAAAGTTGTCAGTTCTCTAGTGGGGTCCGTCTGAGAGTTGAATGATGGAATGGCTGACCATCCTATCCTGAGGGTACACACTCTGTCTAAGTAACAGTGGAAGATAACAGTCTGAGGATGAATTAGGTCAATAAGCCACGTCAAAAATTCTTTACAATTTAAGCACTAATGTTTCCAGATATTTATTGTTAGTGTTTCACAAGACGCCAGAATCAACCAATCCATCCTTCCATGTTTAAGGGGTTGCTCAAAACGTAACGTAAATTTGGGTATCCAACAGAGAACTGACAAAGATGACAGGTCGAGTTTAGTAAGGAAGAGCTTATTGGGTCTGACTTACTTGATATATTCATAATAATGCTATTCGTATGTCCATAGTTGACGTTATCAATTATCGTCAGATTAGTCTTTTTAGCGTAAATAGAAATCTCAATGTCTGAATGAATATGGAATCATTTTCACAATGAGATGTATAGACATATTACGACATATTATTTTTATATCTCGAGATATATATGATAGTGAAAACTAGACATATATAAATTATCGATGTATCATTACTGTTTTTTTTTTACAGAACTAAGTATTCTAAAGTTCGGTTTCATGTTGAAGCAGTGCTCTAATAGTGTAATGTTAGATTTTAATGTTGAAGATGAATTAGCATGTAAATATCGTGTCATGACATATTTTTTTAATAGTTTTGCTCATGTTGTATTTTAATAACATAAGTACATGTTAAAGTAGGTTATCGTGATTAATTTCTTTTATTTACTTTTGATCTATTATGTATATGTAAATATTGTACACCTTTTAGTTTAAAAAACATTCAAGAAGTGTATTAGTATGTATTGTAACGTAACAAGCTTCCTGAAATTATGTATAATATTGGCAAAAAGAATTGAATAACAGTGATAGGTTTTAACTACAAAATTTGTTGTCAAGTATCTAATTGTGTAACAAACAAACACAGAGATTATTTTTTATATTAATGCATGAATATGGAATTGTGCACCCGCCTGCGCTAATGGTATACGCTGACGGGGCACCAGCGGTATATAGTACGATAAGCGTGAAGTTATATCAGTTAGCCATCGTGATAATTTCATTAGAATTAACGATTTTCAGCGAAGACCGCTCGATTAGAGTCACTATCATTTGTACAATTGCAAGGATATTCAAATAACAATTATATACTCGTTTTAATCAGGGAATGTTTATTATTTTTCACATTAGTGAATATTGTTTTAATATTTCTGTAGTACTATAGGTAGGAGCAGTTTATCGACTAGTGATGTGAATGTATTTAACTTGACGATAACAATAAGCATGAAAATATATGGAGTGATATTTTATATGACTAATGGGGTGTATAATATTAATGCCAAAACAGTCTACTCCATACCCTCGAAATGCTAGTGGTCTTAAATATATATTTTCAATATTCATTTATGAATATCATAATTGCTCCAAAAAACATTAACCATTAATATTTTGTCGCTTACTTTCAAAGTAGCTTTTATGTGGAAAGTAAGTGACAAAATACCTCTGTAGCTAAGTTTATTTATTATAAACATCGTTAAACGCCATAATTGAGTAATAAGATGTTGCCTTTACTTTGTCCCCCAATGAATTCTGAAGGATTAAATTTTACATGTAGGTATATAATTTCATTTCATATAGTTAGTAACAATTATATTTTAATCAAAAAGTAGGTACTGTGTTGAAATTACATAGTATTCGTGTACATACCAACTTAAAATGCGAAATATTGTGTTGCTACAGCAATTTATAATTTTAAGACTGCTAATTTTAAGTTTCAATCACAGTCGGTATTATTACTGATTAAAATTATTAATTTTATTTGTTCCGTAGTTCTTGCATTGCGTACAATATGAAAATCCCTATGTTTGTAATCGTGATTGTATATTTTTGATAGAAGTGATAGAACTAATGTCCGACAATCGAATTTACGATGTAACTAACATCGTCGACCGACATCCCTTTTATGCCGCTATTATGAGATTTTAAAGTATACATTATTCAGGGAAAAAAAATATTTTACGCAACGACAGTCAAGAATGTATCATTTAAATAATTAGGTACCAAGCGGTCAAAAGGTTCATAATATCCAATTATAAAAACACCCAGAAGTTGGAGCGATTAAATTTTACAGACATTTTAAATTATTATTAAGTAACAATATGGCAAGTCTACAATAGTTTCCCCAATTGGCAGCTTCTATAGGAAATAAATATATGGATTGTAATTCAAAACGGGGTTCGATTTATATTAATCTTGTCCAGGGGCGGATCGTGAATTTGACACGACGTGATATGGTATTCCACTTATTTAGAAAATCTCATTAAAGTAACGTAGGTGTTCGTTTTGTAAATATTTGTTTTATTTTTAAAATTTGGCTTGTCATACTTGGTTATTCAGCTATTGAAGGCGGTTTTTTTAATCTGTATTGTAATGGAAACTCCATTAAAACAGTTGTGGACCTTCTGGATATTTGAATGCTTATGGCCTGAACCGATATATTTTAGTATGTAAATACTCGTGATTTCTATCAACTATGTGTAGGGTATAGTACATAAGGTACGCAATATTTAAGTTCCAATAAAGACTATGTCTAAAGTAATTTGTTTATTATTTGCACTGCCCTAGTTAATTTCATTCAATATAGTATTTGGTTTGCATTTTTATCGTGAAGCTACCTGAATATCTGTTATGATGTTACATACTTATCTAAAGTATGCCTTAATGTGCTTGAGCTTGAGCTTCTTTTAGAATTGAAAATAGAAAAAACACCTAGATAGAACCAAGTTAACTACAGACATAGTTACTTAGGTTTTTGTTTGCTAAAGAAAAACAAAAATATTTGTACACATTTATTTGAATATTTTTATGGTCACATGTTACAGAAAAAACATTCATATATCAATCATCATCTACATTATTTTTCATATTCTTTTGTGGTAACTTAAAAAACTAATGTCCTTATATTACTGGATAATATGAGGATTTAGTATTTTTTTTAAACAGTGAAAGTAAGAATTTGTCATAATATGATCAAAGCCAGCCTTAATCCTCTTAAAATTAAATAAGTAATAATAGCATGAAGTCATAACATCACAATCAACTGTAATAAAGCTTTTAATTAAATATTTTGTGAATAACAGTTCCTTATTCAATAATGAAAACCTAATATTATCTTCTTCCCATTTCTCTTGTGTATTTTTTATAATAAACAGAAAGAGATTATTTAAATGTGAATGAAGAATCAGCAAAGAATTACTAAAACCAAACCAATGGCTTTGTTTGGATTTCAATGAAATATTCATGTAAGTATGCCATGTACAAAAATAGTTGATACAAAGAAGACATGTTTATAACATGTGTATTAATAAATTCTCTGAAAAAAACATTTCCAAAATAATTTTGATCACAGAAATTGATTACTACATCTGCTTTAATGATGTTGGAGTAAACCCATACATTTATAATATACCTAATACCCTGGCAGCATCTGATAATGTGCCCTGTCTAGTACAGCACAGAGAATTCTGACGGCCATCAGTATCTAATAGAAACTCACACAATATCAGATATTTTCTTTCAGACTCAGTCCTATATTTTCAATTATTATACATAGCTGCACCTGCCTTGGCGAGCTGGTCAGCCATTTCATTACCATGAACCCCACGGTGGGCTTCTACATAATTCCATTTAATTTGTAATTTGTTTTGATATTTGTCTAAATCTTTAAAGTCTTGTTCATTCTTTACTGGTTCACCAGATCTCAGTTTCCACCCTTTATTTTTCCAGCCTGTAAAAATCAAAATATATAAAAATAATTTTCATACAAAGATTTCAGAAAAGCAATTTCTGCACCTATTTATTTTTTGTATATTAATTTGCTAATTATTATTATTTATTAAAATTTGGTACCTAATAAATATCTCTATATACACAATAATATTTTTCAATTCAATATAAAGCTACAAACCAATTTAAAAATTAAACCAAATAAATGTAATAATTATATTTATTATTATATCTAACCTGGCATCCATTTTGTAACAGAGTTGATTAAAAATTGTGAATCAGTATTGATGGCCAATTTTGTAACACCATTTTGTAGAGCTAACTGGATAGCTTTTGTTGCAGCTTGTATTTCACCACAATTATTAGTGGCACGACCTGACACCGGTGCACTAGTGTTGAGACGATGCCCTTCTCCAAAGTAGACTCCTATACCTGCCCGTGCTCCTGTACGACCATTGGCAGAACAGGCTCCATCTGTATAAACCTGCACAAATCCATCACTGTCCTGATCAAAGCCTTGATTATTGGCACTTCTTTTCCTTTTAGGTACCGGAGGTTCTATAAGCATTGTATTGCGAGAGGAGTTCTTTATAATTTTGTCGACACCTTTTTCAAAACCTTTTATTCTTTTCTCTACATCGTCTAATTGCTTAACTAACATTGTATTTAAATCATCACTAGAGTCACTGTCTGCTTGAAAACTGTCTTCATAATTCTGTGGCTCACTACTTTCTGACGTATTTTTATTTGATTGGAATTGACGAGAATAGTTGTCGTCATTTTTTTTCCCAACAAATGATGACTTAGAGAAAGACCTTTTGAGGTTATTCTTGGAATTACCAGAAACGGAATAATTTTGAGTATAAGGCTTCTTATTTTGTGAGACAGTTTTGTTACCACCTATACTCTGAATAAAATTCTGCGCCTCGACTACGCTGTTAAACTTTTTGTATCGAGCTCCAGAAAATCCTTTCACTTGAGACTCACAGTCACCCCATGACATAAAAATTCCAGTCGTTCGACCTTTTGCCACCGCGTAATAGGACATTTTTGTTAATTTAATTAAGTTATTGACATTACCGTTAGCATTAAAAGAGATTTTTTGAAATACTACCCTTAACATTTATTTGTTATGACATTTGACAAGTGACAAGTGTTGCCAGATAACCGATTGTATCCGACTTTACTTGTTTGTTTTTAGCCCGTAGGCTTGTTCTTATTTTTTTGGCATAAAATAAACAATCCCGCTGTTTCACATTTTCCTCTCTCCCTCTTGTATGTATTTGAGGAGAAAACTGTAGGGAAATATAATTAATGAAAAAAAAACTATTCACAATTAATAAATAACTGATACCTAAGGATTGTATTAAACATAATTAATAACTTAACAAAATCTATTTTTTATCGTAGTAAATACATACGATGGGCTAACTAACGTGATTGGTTCAACTTCATACTAATCTTATCATCTTGCACCACCAACGTATACCGTTACTGCTCAAACAAACTATTCCTTATTCGTCCATAAAAAAAAATCATTTCATAATAATCTATTTAAAGTAAGACCAATATGCGGTACTAGATTATTAAAAACTTTTAGGTTTTCATTGAGGCTGAAAGGCTTACAGTTATGAATTACTGAGATCCTATTTTTCTCCTGTGGTATAACTTTTAGACTGGAACTCTGAATGTAGAATTAAAACAAAAATTACAATTTGATCACAGGAACATCAAATTTCAATTTAAAATTTAGGTCGGCCCTTGGTAGCTGTACCTATTAGGTTAAATAAATTTTGAGGGTAAAGCCAGATGAAAACCCCATGCATACATAAACGGAAATTAAGTATAAGTTCAAGTCTGCACCGATTGTTTGAACAATTAAATGATTTCAAAATATACTCGTATATCTCCCCTATTCTCACCGTCGTTTAGAATTTTTGAAGTTCTTCCAGGAATTGCAAAACAAGCTTACTTTGGCCTTGTAATTCTTAAAAAAGTGCCCATAAAGAGATTTAATATGAAAAATGCAATAAATTGCACATTTATGTTATACTACTACTTAGATACCCACCTATTTTATATAAATTGTTTTTCATATGTAGATATAGTCACATGAAGTTTTTAAATATTTCTCAATTATATGGTATCAAATTATTAGATAAATAGTTCCAAATTTCGTCATCTTTAACATAGTTATTAGCTATACAGAGTAGGTCGTTAACGATATGTATCAATACATACAAATATAAAGAATCATCAGTAACAGTTGCAGTATATACCTATGAAAATTAATAAATATCTACTTAGAGTGGAAAATTTGAATATATTTATTTACTCTATTTATTTGAATATATTTAATAATTACTACATATAGTAAAACGTGGTTAGTAGTCATGCTCACTAAAATGTCCAGACAAATAAAATTTTCAGAACTCATCCGACTCGTGAACGAGTGCTGCTCTGCTCTTACGACTGATTTAATCTTATTGCATGATTATATTTGACCCAAAAAATTAGTGCTTGTTGGTAGTTTGTATCTCGACTACAAGGTTAGTTTCTTGCTCGTTCTTCTTGTGATCTAGATAAAAAACAAAATGACTATTTGCTTAAATTAAGTTTATTTGAATAAATGATTTTCTATTCTATTCTATTCTATTCTAAATAATTATACAAATTAAATAAATATTTTCAGAACTAGACATTGGGATAGGATCTCTAGTTATCTAGTATCTAGTAAATGTTTCATGAGTTTTATCTAGCTACACTCTACATTACCTTCTGAGAGGAAATAATAATGGAATGCTCATACATTCGCTGTTCGGCAAAATGATACCTAACAATGTCAGGAAAATAAAATGACTTAATTTAAATACAATAATGTACTTTATTAGGATACTTAACAATAGGTCTGTCACCTCACTCCACGTAAACACACCATTACAATGACATCACTAGTTTGTAAAAAAAATCTTAGGTTAATTATGTTAACAGTGTTTGTATGTAATCTCCCATTTATTTATACACTATATTGGTAATAATTAATAACAGTCTAACATTGCTACTATAAATAGATACAGCAAAGAAATAATTACAATAGGCATTTATTAAATTCGCCGCCAAAATGTTTCCGTCATAATTATATCTTCCCATACGAATCGTATTAGGTAAATTATAAATAATATAATTAAATTTCAATAGGACTTCAAACATTAAACAGTTTAGTTTGTTTAAACAACAATGTTTTTGAAACAAAAACTTTCTTTTTGCCGAAATAATAGGCCCCAGTGTATTTTAGATTAGATGCTTTCATAATGACTTCCTATACTATTTAGATACCGTTCGAGTTGTATATGTACTACCCTCTCAATATTACTCAACATGTCCGCCAACGCCACTTCGTGTATTATATTTAATTTTAATGGCACTATAATTAAAATGGCTTGGGGTTATTTTCTGGAAGCTACAATTGTAAATAGACCAAATTTACACAATCTCACCATCGAACTAAAGATCGCATACATTTTTAATAAATGAAGGCTTAAAGATCAATACAACCTTGACGATTTATTGTCTGTTGTCAACAATAACAATAACTCAGGAGTTATAAGTTTTAGTTTAATTTGACAAAGTTAAAGGCTTAATAAAAATACTTAACGTTAAACCAATATAGAATGTCTGAAAGATTAAAGTAAAGACGTACTAATATAAAAATTGAAAAATCCCTTCATAAAAGTCATTGACTATAACAGTACGTACCTAGCTCCAGTGTCGCTACAGATTTTTTAATTATGTAGCAACACCAGATAAATTCATAAGAGCGTCTCTGTCAAACACATACCTATACAGTACTTTGTTTTACTGCTTCAAATTAACTTACAGACCTAGACCACCTAAATTAACTAAATTAATATTATCTTAAAACAGCTAAGCTCAAACCTGATAGGTATTTAAAACATACCATAAATTTTAATAAAATTATACTAATTTAACAGTACACAACATATTAATAAAATTTATTAAAATGTGAACAATCGTTTTGGTTAATACTTGGTAAAGTTAGTTGAATCCAGGATTGTAAATAAAGAATTCCATTTAGATATTGAAATGACTAGTAATAATATTAGTAAGACATAGTTCTAACAAATTAACACTTTTAAAGGATTCCAAATGAGGCACAGGAGTTACATTTTAAATGTATGTATATATCTTTAAAATCCAAAAATTATATAAATTGATTTAAAATCATTAAGTAATAGGTAGTATGTTTTCAAAGTGAATACATAATTTATAATTCTTATACATCTTCGTTATTTAATAATAATGGTCTATTTCATAATATAATGTAGGGCCGCTATCAATAATATAATTAATGCGACAGGTTACCTTTTGGTATAGTTGTGATTGGTATAGGAATTTTATTGACAAACAAGAATTATATATTATGATTTGAATAACTATGCTAGGTACTCTATAATTTGATATTCGAATTTTAAAATCTCACCAATCTCGTAATAACTTTAAAATACAAACCAGTACCAAAGATGGCAGCCCTTTTATTTCGTACCTAATATAAAATTTTGAAATTAGATATGTAGAAACAAATATGAATGGTAGACCCTCCGTCGTTAAGCACCTGCAGACTAGAGTAAAATGTAAGATCTACCTAGCATTATCTATAAGCATATAATACAGCTGCCATTGCTATGTTACTACATACATACGTGTTCAAATGGCCACTAAAGTCACACGACTAGTGACTAAGTAAAGTTATCACCAGAGATTAAATGTTAAATATATTTATTGTTATTGCTAAATAGTTGCAACCTCTTGCCAAAACGAAAAAAGTAAATGATAACCCATATTTGTATAGCGGATTTCTGTAATAAAGTACTCTGTGGCGAGAACACAGATTAAACACATTGTACGTCTTAATCTGGTCATACCAAGCAGCATTCCAAATTCATATTATGTATATAATTAGTAATAATTGTATACATAATATGAAAATATTATATATGCATTCTGCGGCCGTCTCTCAGGAACTAATCTATTTAACACAATAATATCTGGTAAGAACTTACTAAATGGGCCCATAACCTTACAGAATGTAAAATGTTTTTCATCTAAACTATATTTTATCTACAACAATTTCCGAATTGTTCTATTAACTCGTAGACTAACTACTTACAATTATATTAATTTGACACCGTCCTATATTCGCCATGTATATAGACTCGAGACGTATCATGTCCCTATAAAAATACTTTATTACACGTCTAATACTAAATATTAAATTAATAGTCTGTGCGTGTTTTATTATACTGATTAATGTCTTGTTAAAATAAACAAATAAAGCATGACGTGGACGATTGCATGTTAATGATAATAATAAGAAATAATAGACGTCTAAGAACAAAATTATCTTTTATCAATATTAAATGCATCCCCACGAGAAGCATCGCAAAAAGTTAAATAGTTAGTGCATTATTCAGACGGGCAAACCTCTTCAGATGAAATCAAATGTTTGTACCGTATGAGGAATCGAACCCTCGACCATCGGAAGTAAAGCGGTGTACTAAACCGCTTGGCCACCGAAGCCGTGGAATGGAAGCTAAATAATGCACTAACCTAGTATTACGAGTATATAAAATACTGTTGAATTATTCTTTTTCACGTATGTATGTATAATTACAAAAAATTGTGATCAAAATATATAATTTTCTTTTAGAGCGTTAATATGAGAGGATTTTAAATTTGATCACAGTACCGTACAGTTACCTAGCGATTCAAGTTGATAAGACATGTAGGAGCATATTATTATCTAAATATAAGTTTTATTTAATACCAAAATCTGCTTGGAGGGAGTGATGATATGAATGATTTATGACGGAATAATATAGGCCTTAATAATGATCAATAAAATCTAAGTAAAGATAAAACTTAGGTAGATCTGTAAACACATGCAAATAAAATATTAGAACACTATTGTTGATATGCTTAAATCTTTTGAGACATAATATCGACTATAATGAAAACAACACTGGTAAAAATCTTGTAAATACATAAATACTATACTATACTAACGAAATGCTGTAACTAGTCTATGAGACGTTTTAAACAATGTCTTGTTTTTGTGCCACCACATCTAGAGCTATAAACGGTAAATTAACTCAGAAACAATCATAATAAAGTTCAAATTTGCACAAGACTTAAAATCGATTGTTGGACTCGCTACAATTACGTAGGCACTAGCGACTGTGTTTGTAGCTCTAGAGATGTCACATCACCAGGTCCACTAATTCGTATTACACTAGTTCATCTAAGTATGATCGCGGGATCGTCATGACTACACTGTCCCAAGGCACGTATCGACCACTAGGATACGTTGAAAAAATATTACTCTTTCAAATACAACGGTATCGGTCCTAATCTAAAGATTGATAACTACCGCTTTAATTGCACATTTTATCATCTTTGGTGTTCACTGGAGACGTCAACTGTAAATTTTGATCGCGGATTTTTTTCGATATCTAAATAGAACATTCATCACTGTCACGAGCATAATCGTCGTCTTCATCTTGATTTCTTGGACTACTCTTCTTGACTTTGCTGGAAACAACGCCAGTGTTCACTTTACTGAACAGACTGCTGCGATTGAGTCTCGATATCTCCCTTTGTGGGCTAAGTCTCTCAGCGACTGCGCGCTCGTAATTGTCCGAGATTTTGTTAACACCGTTCACGGGGCTTGTTATTGGCGATTTCACTGGAGAAGTAGAGTTCCTTGGTTCTTTCTCGAAGAGTTCTTTTCCACTTGTGGCTGCACTATACGAGGGGGGGTCTTTACGTCCCGTCAACAAATGAGAGTATAGAAAACTATTGTTACCGAAACCGGCATATTTATTGTCCATTTTTCCGTTTACCATCATTAAGCTGACAGGTTTTTCGGGAGGAACAGGTTTTTCTGGTCGCTTCTCAGGGAAGCCGTTCTTAGTTGCTGGTTGATGGCCCCATCTGTTATTGTCTATGGAGTAGATGGAGCTGAGGTTGACGAAGCCGTCGGCGGTGGTGGTGGGAGGGGCCGAGGCGCCAACGTCTCGTAGACGCACGGTGCCCCCACTCGCGGTACCTTCGCTCAGCGTAGACTCATCCACGCTTGAGTCTTCAATAACTTCTGTACTGGTGATGTCATCTAGATTTGGCGATAGACAGTCTTCATCCGTTTCATCGTATGAGCTGCAAATTTTAAGAACCTATTAGCAAGTGTTTAATACAATTACCATTTTAAAATTGAGTATATGTACTGAATGCAAATGAATCAAAAGTCATGTCATTGTTAGTGTTGCTTCATGCCTGACAAATGCCAATGAGACTCATTATTTACAAACAAAAGCTTTATAGTATTTGATAGTGTATGGAATGGAGGCTTATTTAACATGAACGGTATTTCATCAGTAAGGCAGACAAATTTCTGCGAGCGATATCACGGCAGCCTCAAAAAACAAAGAATTACAAAGATTTGCTGCAGTTACACGCATCATGACAATCATTTCAGTGCAAGATATACACACTTATAAGAGTCCACTTCGATAGACTGCGTTTGAAATGCATACTAGGTTCAATGCTATAGTGTAATTTGAATCATATTCAATCATATTCACATTCTACAAAATATGTTGTTGTGTTCTGCTACTTAAACATACAAGAAAAATTGTGTAGCTTTGTCAAATCACACTATAACGGCCGGTAAGTAAATCAAACATAGTCTACCTATAGAAATCTAAGCGACAAGTCGATAATGCAAATGCAAAGTTCGTTCGCAAGTCGTAACATCACCATCATGTAAGCTCATTTCTCAAGCATTTCGATCAAAATACAACTCTCGAAAAATTCTCAGTGCAGCAAAATTACACAATACGTACACTGCAATTCACCAACACATTCTTACCCTAGCATAGCCAGTTCTGTCTTCCTCCCTGATGAAAGAAATTTTAATATATAATGAACAAAAAATATAATTAAAATATAATAATATAGGTATGTGAATTTAATTTGTACACAGAACATATGAATCTATAATTATATAAGTTATCTGTGGAACGTACAAAATAGAACAAAGGAAATAAATATGCAAGGGTAATATAAAAGACAAATAAAATACATATAAATATAAATGCGGGTAAGTCATAAATAGAATTTACAAACCGATATCATAATTCTGGGGTAAAATTATTACTACTTATATGTGATAATACCCTATGTATTTCTAATTACTTCTAAAATATAAAACATAATTGTAAAATATATGTACATATAGTAAATACAGACAATATATAATATAATAACTAAATAAGTGTTCTGTATGTGAGTGTTAACTTTATGAAACAAAAAGTAAAAATTAATTGTTGCCATTTTAACATGGAGTCATCGGATTATTAGTAATCTAGAAGTGATTGCATTCAGAACATATTGTACACAGTGAAGTTTGGATGTTAGGTCATCTTATTTGTAAGGGAATTTAAGTGCAGATCTAAATCTGCAAAGATCATTGAGTGCAACGAACGATGCGGCAAAATGCTCGATGTATGCTGCTATCTCTAGTGCTGGATTACGGGGTCCAATACATTCAACTCATTCTACTTATAATTACCAAATTATTGAACAATTTATTTGTATAATTTGTATCCATTGATTCCGTTACTGCGGCACAGTTCTAAAAATCGGCCCATACACTTCTTTCTCTCTGATTCTCTCATTACTCTATACAACTGCCTGTTTGTAAAAAAACAAAAACGTTAATGTGGGTTTAGATTTAATAAACCTGATAATGGTTTAGATGAATGCGAATGGGATGATGATGATTGTTAGCTTACATTTGGTCTTGAGCGTCACTGCCGCCCTCCTCGGCAACTAGGAGTTCATATTCTTCGGCTGCGAACCTGTCCCACTCAGACATCTGCAAATATATACATCCAATATCAAAAGAAATTCATTGTATTAGTTTATATATTAGATGCACAATGTAATAATGCAACGTACATGGTGCAATATTAAACTTTATGCTGCTGGAAAGATGACCTAAGTGGTAAAGATTCGGGCTCAGACTTCGGATAAAGTCCAAGTTGTACTTTATACGAAGCCTATCCTTATGTTTCCTAATGTAGTTTACTTTATAATTTATAGATAATAATAACATTTGGATGGGCAACCACACCGCGCCATCTAGACCCAACTTAAGCAGAGCTTGTGTTATGGATGTACTAGACAACTGATACAAATTACTTAGATACATATCAATTTTAAATACATACATAATATACATAGAAAACACTCAGACCTATACTTAATTATACTCGTGAATACAAATGTTTGTATTATGTGGGGAATTGATCCGGGACCATCAGAAGTAAGGCGGTGTGCTAAACCTCTAAACCACATAGGCCTTCGTTATAACTATTAGTATAAATAAATGAATAAATGAGATATGGCAATTAAATTACTCTTACTACGGAAATATCTCAGATCACAAGAATTGATAGGGAATTCATCGCCATTCGCTGGAACCTGAAGTGGTCTCGGACAGTGCGATTTTATAGGAGATTCCTCCTGCAAACACTTACATTGTGAATTGAACTACGTGCCGAGGTTTTCTCTAGATAGCACAGAAGAGGGTAAATAAAGATTTCTTAAGTGTCGGCAACGCGGACGTGATACCATGAGCCATACCATGTGGACAGATGGACCGTATGTTTGTTTGCAAACGTCGTAGTATAAAAAAATCGTAAAGCATGAGGAACATCAAACGCATTCAGTCACATATATGTTTATATATATAAGCGACGGCTGTCACATTCTATCCAGTGATCCTTTGGGTTGTTTGCTATTTCGGATCCATAAGAGAATCTTTTACATTTATTTTTATCATATTTTATCAACTCACTTCGCAGTCGGAGTCCCGCTGAGTAGCGAATGGATCCCGCTGCTCGTGGTCCAGGTACTTCTCCAGATTGAAGAATGTGTCGAAGAAGATCGGTGTGAGCTTACACTTCTTCAAATCAGAGAGAGTGATCTTGCCGTCGACGGCTGGATGCACCATGTCCAGCATCTGTTATTAGAAAGTTATTTGATATAACAACAACGACTTTTGATTCATAAAAAAGACATTGTTGATTCGAACTTAAATATTGTCAAATCGATAAAAAGACTCAGATTAAGTAAGTATAGTATATTAAATACTCTATATATAGTATGCTTATTTAATTCTGATTCGAATTTAATTATACAATTGATTAAGCTAAATAAAGGACCAAATTATATTTTAATCTCCACAGAGTAGTCACAGGTGAAATATGTAGTTTCTTATAAATATAAAGCGTACTTGGCACAAGCAATCGTTGAAGGGGAGCGTTTCGATGCCGATGGCTTCCATCCTCTGCATCTGTTCCTCGTAGAAGTATTCCAGCTCGTACATGGAGATGTATCCATCGCCGTCCACATCCATGCACCTGCAACGTTTTTATTGTCTTCTTAATACTTATATCGCTTTACAACCAGGGATGTCCATTATAAGATTATCCTAGTACAGATATGGGATTTTTGGTTTTCAGTACAAGGCAAGACGACAAACAAAATAACTACAAGAGGTGGACTGTAAAAAACATCTGCATGAGGACTTTAGTCTCATCTGTTTCGGTTTTTGTAGGGTGCAGATTAGGCAGTGAAATTAAAGTATAAAAGAATGTAATATAATAAAACTTGGGAGAAGAATAAAATAAAGCCTGGAAGTTCATATCCGGGATTGATGCATGTATGGAAAATATATATATAATATAAGTATATAGGCAGGACATCTTAGTTCGTGCAATGGTTAACACATGTTGTTCATGTATAGAGGCATGTATTTACAGGTTCCCATCAGATTCCCGTCGGCATGTTTCCCTTTCCAATTATCTACATAAAAAAATGCTATCTTGTCAAAATACTTTTGGATGGCAAATACAGATGAAATTCTAATTATTCGCATAATTTAACCGAATTGTATATGTAGGCACAAATTTCGCGAATAATATAATTCTCGATGTACAATGCATTCTAATTACAACAAGTAACTCTCAAGGTTCTAGGACAACATTGGCGTATTTACATTAATTTGTAATCAGTATTTCAGGTTCTATGTTTGAATACATAAGGCTTCAATTAAACTGAATGGCTTTGTACTGAAACTATGTCGCAGTGTCGTGACTGAATTGTACAAAGTTCGTGGAGTGGTTCCAGGCATGTAACCAAGTTCCGCGACAGTCATATCCGCACTTAACCTTAAGTTATGATTAATGTTAGTTTACAATGCAACATGACTTCTTAAAAAGTTTTAGAGAACTTGTAATGACATAAGTTCAAAAGTATTACTGTATTATTAGTACATTTCTGTACAAAAATGACAAGGATATAATATAAAAAAATACGAATAAAATAATTCTATATTATTCTTTAATCTGTTACAATTAAAAATTGTTAGCATCGTTACAGCGATAAAATAAAGCAGCGGGTTTAAATTCAGAATAGGTTTAGTTGAAAAATAAGCCATTACGCTCTCATCATTATAATAATTATTATATACTTTATTAAACTGCTGAACTAATGATATGAAAAAATCTAATATTGCCTAGAGGTAGACTGTAAAAAGACATCTGCGTAGATATCACCTATGTATTAAATTCGTCAAACAGCTTGCTTTGTAAGCTGTGTTTCTATTGTAGGTTGCAGATTAGGCAGTGAAACTATAGGCATCTTAGTCTTCTAATAGCAATGTATTAGTGGTATCGCAGGCGTCATATAGAGATGTAAGCGCTGTTTATGCATAGGAATATGCATAGGTATAGGAGACGGCTACCGCTTACAATCAGGTGCTCGGGAAAAGATTCCATTCCAATTATTTAAAAAAATGTTCACTGACCTGAACCAATATTCAATAGCGGTGGGGTGCGTCTTGTCTTCTTCCGCGAGTAGGAACCACACGAACTCGGTGTAGGACATCCTCGGCTCCCCGTCGGGTGTCAGTCGGTTTTGGTTGCCTCGTGTCACGCAACCAGACAACACACGCTCGATCATGCGGCTCGATAGAGCTGCAACCAGGTAGGTGAGGAGTTATACCATTCTGTTTAACACTTTGTTTCCGTTTGAGAAGCACGTTCTAGCTATTAAATATGAGTCACCAGATATTTAAATATTGAGAGAAATACATACTAGTCAGGTGAAGAAAGGCCTTATTATATTATTTTATATATATATATATATATATATATATATATATATATATATATATATATATATATATATATATATATATATATATATATATATATATATATACATATATATATATATATATATATATATATATACCACCAACGCCGTTAACCACAATTTTGTTTAACTACATCACTAATGCAATATACATATATTGCACAAAAAAGATGAGCAACTATAATATATTATTTGTTGCGGAGTCATATAGGGTCTAATGATAAAACACAATGGAAATACTTTTAAATTGATATCTAACTACGATGTCCTCAACAGGTTTTTAATTGCAATTAATTATGAAATGAATAAATAAAATTAAAGACTTACCGTGGTCATTGTGCCTGGCGAGGTCGTGTCTGTCAATGAACAAATCGTGATCTCTGTCCAGTTCCCAGAATTTGCAATAAATTACATAGAAATGTTCGTAGCTGAAATAATAAAGTTATATTATGGAACAAACATCATATGTTAAATATTTATTGGTATCACAAGAACTAAAAATAAATCTACTCAGTGAATCAGTAATGACAATAATATAAATCGTGGGTCTAAAAGGAGATTAATAATGTTTTATTGTATTTACCATATTCCTTAAATTATTCTAATAATAATTTATAACGTAGCCTACTTCCTTAATTTATTTAGCATTGAAAACAAATAAAAATATCTTTATGCACTTTAATACTTTCAAGCTACTCTGCTTGAAAGTATTAAAGTGCATAAACGAACGAAGGAACTCGGTTCTAACTCTTTTTAAATGTGATTGTACATACTGTAGTAATAGATGTTTTAAACTTAGGCACTGAAAACCATTGGTTGTTACTAAACAAAATAATTTAGGCAGTCGCCATAACCTAAACAAACCATTCCCTACAAGTAGAATTCGATGATGACTCTTTGAAATAAAACTGTAAATAGTCAGCAGATCAATGACTTTTCTAAATATCTGTAAATAATTTACCTAAAGTATTGTGTAACTTGATTGATGTCTTCTTCATCTTCAAGCAACTGTATAACTTGAAGTAAATTAGATCTTCTTAGTTCCGCAATCGAAATCCTGCCGGACCACGAGCGGTTGACACAGTAAAATATCCTAGCGATCACCTGAAATAAAGTGTATTACTTTTACATAAACGAGAAACCAATAGATAGTGGAAACCGTTGTCGATATCCTTGATGCTGTTAGTGTATAATGTACCTAACATGATACACTAACAGCGTCAAGGATATCCTGTCGAAATCAAACGAACATACATAGCTTTCCTCGTTGTCATTCGTGAGCACTCAGTTTTATGTCTTAAAAAAAGTTGCTTGACGACAGAAATAGGTAAGTCAGTGTTACCGACATAGAACACTTATACAAAATTTTACTTTTGTTTATTTACTACATTGTATCTTATAACTAACCTTTTCAATAAACCTCAAAACAGAAGACTGTTTGTTACATACTGTAAAGCTATTCAATATTCTCGAATGTTATCATTTATATCACCTTAAAGTGAGCAGTAGTGACATATTCCACAAGACCAGGATTTTGATAAGCTAGATAGTTAAGCTAGAAAGCTTGATAGATCCAATATTACTTCAGCTGTAGTACTGAAGTAATATTGGATGGATATATTTAGTTTAGTAAAGCCGCAGATTGAAGAGAATGTCACGTATTGCTCTATGTACAATTATTACAATCTTGTCAGAAATGTTCTGAAAGGTATTGAATAAAAAGTGTGACATGTACGTCACGAAGTCATAGAAAGAAATACACAGACCATTTTCTACAAAATCTAACTATGTATAGAGGATTACGAAATCGTAATTCTTATTTTGAATATTGCGGTATAATTGATACTGTTATATATAATTGATAAACTTGCGTCGTATTTATTAATAATCAAACTGTTGATTGACTTTATAGAAAACACGCACCTATGTCACTATTTTCGTAACAAATTAATATGTATTCCTTAATTACTGTATTTTAATACAACAGTTATTATATTGTATATTTTTAAGGAACTTACAGTATGCACGTATCTTGAGTGGAACTCAGTGGCCTCCTTCAAGAAGGAGAGGCCTGGGTGCGTATCCACGACATCTTGAACTAGTGGCACGAAGTCCTCAGGTGCCAGTGTGCTGCTCTTCCCTCTTGTTAGAATGTACACGAAGCGGGATGCCTGGTCGTGACATTGGGAGGTCATCCTGAAATGTTACAGTCATTTCTATTGTTTATATACAAGCTTGCAAGAATTCTACATATATACTAGCGGACCCGGCAGACTTTAACCTGCCTGGTAAAAACTCGCCTTCAAAACATCCAGAAATAAATAAAAATATATAATAACAATAATAATATCAGGACAATTCACAAAGAGCATCTAGACCCAAGTTAAGCTAGCTAAAGCTTGTGTTAAGGGTACTAGATACAAATTCATAGATATATTTTTTTTCATAAATACATACATATTCTACATAGAAAACACCTAGATTGATACAAACAATGATACTCATGAATACAAATATTTGTGCCGTCCGAGGAATCGAACCCGCGACCATCGGAAGTACGGCGAAGTGTTAAACCGCTAAACCACCGAGGCCGTCATATGTAGGCCATATATAAACATTATTTATTAAATGCAAATAGCCGTTTAGCTGGAGTTGTATATGTAAACAATATATACCTATACAAAACTCATAAAACTCGCAGATTTATGCTATAGCGCATACCTCGGGCGGACCACTAATGTATGAACGAAATTGAACCTAAAATGAATTTATTTATAATTAATTACTATGAATGTGTCAAAAACTATTAAAATTTCCTTTATCCATTGTGTCATCAACTCTTCCAAAAATATTGAGTACCTATTTTTTTATAGAAAATAAATACCAATTACTGAATTATTTTATGTTAATGTAATGTTGAATAAATGTCTTGTATTTTTATTATTATTATAGCGTAATAAATTATGCAGATGAAATACGTAGGTACCTAAATAAATATTCTTCTGATTTGGTAAATTGTGGGTCCATTGATAATTACATTTGCATTAGATAAGTATGGTAATCAGCTTAATCAGTTTGGTGGCGGGTGGGCTGCGTCGACGGGCCCTCAAATTAAAGTATCCAATGATAACCGTTAATCCATCACATGCATATATCACTGATCGATACATAAACCTAGTTTTTATATTATAAAAAATATTACTATTATTTTACATCATTACATAGTATAAAACAAAGTCGCTGTTGCTGTCGCTGTCTGTCCGTCCCTACGTATGCCTAAATCTTTAAAACTACGCAACGGATTTTGAAGCGTTTTTTTAATAGAGTGATTCTAGAGGAAGGTTTGTGTATATAATACATGTACACCCGTGCGAAGGCGGGGCGAGTTAGTTAAAAAGAGATTAAATTGGTATCTTAACAATAAACGGTAGAATTAATCAAATAGTAATTAACGACCAGTTTCGGTTTCGTAAAGATATATTTTTTAATAGACTAAACAATTTGCTGATAAATGATTTCTGACCTTTCTATTACATTTCAGAGTGAAAGTATTTTTAAAAAGGATTAGTTATTGTTTGAGTTCATTCATTACTATTATATATAACTTTATCATAACATTTCTTTTATAACAATACTTTAGATCACTACATAAGCGACTACATACAGTCACGTATGTTTTACTATTATATGGTAATCCAAGCATTACGTGTAAGTACTATTATTTGGATATTAGATACTCAATCTCACCTCAATATATGAATGAAATTTTTAAGAATTTGACCATATCGTTCATTAAATTTATCCGCGTGATTATAAATGCAAATATAAAAAAAAAACCTAATGATTTGTGCTTAATGTATAAATTAGCAAAATTAAACAACAAGAATTAGCATTTATTATGCATACGATAAATTTAATAGGTTGTACCTTTTGCCTACTTGAGTTTCATTATCTGTGTGTGTGTATATAACTCTGGTTTTGGTGGTTCGTAGAATTTCTTTTTTTATATATTTTTTTAATAGCATGCACATGGTAACGTTACTTATAAGACCACGGACAATATCACGTTATCTTGTGACGTCTTTGTTGTTTTCATGCGTTGCCATTCTAATATTATTTATATTATAATATTAATCTCCTTGAGGACTACGGTACTTGCATTATTACGTAACATAAATATTCGACCATTATTCGTACCTATATCAAGCCAATTTGACGTGCCATCTTATTAAATAAGAGAATATATAATATATACTTACTCTCTCCAAAAGTCAATGAACTTGTGTCCGTCGACGGGTGCGTGTAGGCTCTGCTGCGTCGCCAGGAACAAAGGCATCTTCCAGTAGAGGGGACACTCACACGCCTTTACTATATGCTTGAAACTTTCGCGAGGTACCTGGAAAGAAATGGCATATGAATTTAAATTTTTAACAGGAAAATGTGCAAAGGCGTGTTCAGGGATGCAAGATTAATCGAGAGAGAGAGATTAATTGAGAATCCCTTCTACAATGAGCTAGAAGTTACCTATATTAAAATTGCAAGTTTATTGCATAATATTTAGGAATATATATATTAATGTTAAAGAACGTACAGAGTCTAATGAAGTTACTAGGCACGTAGTAGGTACTCGATAACTATAAATGTATACTTAAATACATTTTTTTTTGTAATTACACACAATATTTTCTAGTTAATAGACCAATACAAATAGCTGGGTATATTTATGTCTCTATTTAATGGTATTAAGAAGAGTGTTAATTTTCGAATGCTGCTAAACCACTGTAGGATTTCGATCGTCATCGGTCATCAAAAAGCAGTATCTAAAATATTTTAAAATGTTTAATAGCTTGTTTAAAACCAATACGATTTCAATCCCATTAGTAATGAGTTTAAATGGCAGATATTTTCTTTTTAAATTTATCGAAAGCCCTACACACATATTATGTATAGGTGCATAAATACCAGCACTATCATGTGATGGCCGTCGTACTCTTCATACGTTGCCATTCATATATTGTCTAAGATGACATCTCTCTGAATCCGTACATTATAATCCCATAACTATATCTCACCTTCTAACCGAAACGAAAAGAAAAGTTGTAAGCAAGTTGTTTGATTGTAAATGTTTGAGCCAGAGGTGCACGTAGGCGACTTTATACAAAGACCTCTAATAGATACAAAACGAATGAAATGGCCATTCCAATCTATTAAAGATCTATTAAATAAAAAATAACAAGAGATCTATATCTCTACATGTTATTTGCATATATTTGCAATTCGTTTAGATGTTTACGAAATTAAAACAGGCGGATATTCTGTTGATTTAAATATATTTTTAGGAACACCGCTTACCATCAGGTGGCTTGCCACCTTTTTTATGCCAATCCAGTTACATAAACTCTATATGTAATTCTATATAACTTTTAGAATGGACAAAAATTCTGTATTGATTAAAGTATTAAAAATATAATCTGTATAAAATAATGAAGATTATTTTTTATCTATTTTACTTACTGCAGGTATATGTCTAATAGTCTTTATTTTGACTATAATATTAGGTTATACCAAAAAAATCGTTTCTATTTTATTCACGAGTTACGATTACCTTAAATCGTAATTTAATGTTATAATCAAAATAAAGACTATTAGTACCTACTCGTATTCAATCTGTAGTGGCTAAAATAGATAAAAAATATCCTTATTTATTTTATAGTAACTATATTTTTGCCTCATTTAGATTTACGTGCTTAATGCTATTTCTCTTATTTGGTATCTGGATACCAAATAAGAGAAATAGCATTAAGCACTTGGTTTCGATACTATTACACTTAGAAAACTGGTTTTCTAAGTGTAATAGTATCGAAACCAATAACGTTATAGAGAAATTAGCGATTAGAATTCAAGAAACGAAATACGTAGGTGGTAATTTTGTTTTTAAATTATCCACTTTTCGCTAAAAGGAATACTTTGACAAAGAACATTAAAAACACTTATATAGAATAAATGTTTAAAAAGAAATATTCATAAAGAGATCTAGTAAAGGTAATTCAAGTGGGTGTATATTACCATATGTAATATATTATAGTATAAAAGTTTTAGAACATTCACTTTAAAGTTTCAAACTTTCACCGAGGTAGTTTTTGTAAATAGTCTTCTGCTTAAGAATAGAATTTGTAAGCTATATTACGGTTGAATGATGAGATTACGCAGTGACATTACAGGTTAAAATGTATAAGATCTTAGTCATCCGGAATTACAACGCATGTGTGGTCTTCGGTATGTAACGTGATTTGGTAGTTCATATACATAGACATCCATTACCACTTACTAATAGGTGGGCCGCCAAATTATTAAGAACTAGCAAGCCAGTTCTTAATAACTTTGTATTAAAAGCCTCGATTTCAAACGTGTCCTATATTGTAGGAACCTCTATTTTGTTTTAAAATGAAATATAGCCCATGTAAATAGCTGTTCATGTAGGTTAAACAAGTTATAAAATTGTTTAAATAATTTATCGGTTTACTCAATCGAGAAGAAAATAGAAATGTTTACTTTTATAATATTAATTCAGATACTTCTGAGCTCTCATTTAATACCTGCCTATTAGATAGTGTTTAGATAAGTAATCCATTTATTTCATATTGTCTTTTCAATAAATTTATAACTATAAAGAGATTATTACTTTGAGAAGTTCATATGTCTATTTTGATGTAATAAATAAGATGATAAACACGAGAATTTACTGAGCTATTGAATATATTGCAAAACTTTCTATAAAGTAACTAGAAGGATATAGCAGTAAATTTACAGATTGTTATAACTGTAATCCCACACATTTGACTGTAATAACCCTTTATGATATATTTGAATGTAATTATTAGGTACTAGGTGAATATCGGGGTATTATAAAAACTTTTTTGTTTATGTATACATTTTCACTCCGGAATAATTTACCTCATACAAATATCCCTATTTGTATGAGGTAAATTACAAACAATTTTCCCAAATTGGTACAGTACTTTCGGAGTTTCCTTTCACACAAAATTCACTCTCTCTCATATTATAATATTAGTAGATTTAGATATTTAAGTATAAATATGTATATATTAATATATATGTATATAGATACCTATATGTTTTATCCGTAACAACCTAAACAGAATTTCGGGCAGTCAGGCGTTGGTATTGCCATCCAAATTGGTCATATCCGCTAATAAATCATTTAAATTTAGTTTGGACATTATTCGACTATTGTACGACCAGTGTGGGCATATGATATTGCTTGCAAGAGCGTCATTTAGTTGATTGAATGGTACTTAGAGTTAAACATCCATCTGTCCATGTAATATTGTAAGAAATATGTAAGGAGTTAAAAAGAAGCAATAACAATAAAGTTAGTCACTTAATTTCGATTCTATGACGTCATAGGAAGCGATAGCCTTCATCTCGTGGTAATTTTTTCCTCTCCAATCGATCCATTGTCTAATTGAAACGGGGAAATAAATTACGACGGACTGGGCCTAGGTTCTAACCCCTAACGGTGCCCGCAGACAAAAGTCGTAACCGTTAGGCGGGAGTTTGTCTTAAGTCGCTCCATAAGTCCTTCCGCGGTTTTGGAGTGTCAACTGCACTCGCCTCCTATCGGCCGGTGAAGATGTAAAAGGCTAGCTGCGGCCACTAGCATTAGAGTAGTCCAAAAAAAAAGCGGCAAATCTATTCTAATATTACAAATACAAAAAGGTACACGACTGTTTGATTATTACCCTATCATCTTCTACATCATTTCATTATAATTCGTTAAGTCGTTTAGTAGACACGAAGATGATTATATTACGAATATGGATATGGGCTATCTTTTATATCAAAAAATATCTGGAAAAGGTAAAATATATAATGAAAGTTTATGCAGAAGTCGTGGCTAACAGCTAGTTGATAATATGAACATGCGAACAAAGTCGCGGGTATAGCTAGTGTTATATAATTACGTTAGTTTTATAATTCAATCCAACCTACGCGTCGTAAGGCATAAACAAAGTTTAAATGATTCTCACATACTTGTACGCATTCGGGCACGCACGACTATAATACTGTGTCTTAATAGGTTTATAGCGTGTCGAGTAAAATTTACAATGCAGTTTTAATAGGGCCATCCCAAACGTAGCTTATATATACATGTAAATTTCATTAAAATCCTTTCAGCCATGTCGTCCTGAAAGACAGCAAGACAGAAATAATACTTAGACTTCAATACATATGTATGACGATAGATATAAGAAAATATGGAGTTTTGTAATATTTATTTCATGATAAACCACTTTTACATTTGATGTTTGTAATAACATCATATACAATATGTATTTACAACGTCGATTTTTCTCTGTGAGACAAACAAGATCGGTATTGACACCTAGATTTTAAGAACTTCACTGTCCTATTAATACATGTACGCAATAATGTCTGGTTGTGGTGAGTCTATGAAGTAAATAATAATTATATGAGCTACCCATGTATTGTTGATACAACTGCTCCATCTTCAATGAAATGGATATGATGAAAACCAAGGTAGACTTTGTCACCTGTGTGCGTATGTCTCACTTTCAGTCGCTAAACATCTTGCATTGTTATAGCTATGTTTTGGGTGACATATGGTAGTGAAATTACAGGGTTTGAAGATAGCTTAGTCTCCCAAAATAGACGTGATGTTCTTCATACTATTTATATATATAAAGATGACGGTTATAGGTAGGCCGTCAGCTTGCTTTATTATTACATAAACCTTTATGTTTATATCGTAATCCCTAAATCATTCATACCTAGTTGTACTTTGTACGAAGTCGTCTGGGTCTCTATATTTCATCTATAACTATCGCTCAACAAGTTGGTTTGTTAGGTATGAGACATGGAAGTGAAATACATAGGACAGGACATATTTCCTCAATCCACCTAAATATGTATGCAATAAAACAATATTTGATAGTCTATAAAGAACATTATAGTAATTATTATAACAGTGAGATCAGATTGCAATTTGAGTATCAGCCCTGAACAGGTGTCTTGTTTTAAATCGGGACATACGGTAATATGCGTTGAGCACCAGGGTACATAACCTTAAAATATATAGACCCATATGAAGAACTTCAAAACCTCACGTACCTGGGCTTACTATGGCACTCTAGTCTACATAGTCGTATTTTGACCGTCTAATAGGTAATTCGTGTATAAAATTGTAAGAGAATTAAGATACATCCTTCAATCGAGGGCCGGATTATTACATACTAGCTAATACACGCACAACGGCCCAAATGAGAGGCCAATTGCGGAAAATGGAGTCCAACCTACACTACCTACATACTAGCTGACCAGCGCAACTCAACTACTTGACATTTATCATTATAT